GGGGGGGGGGGTTGCCTAATGGGTATACTTGTTATACATTAATTCTCCTGATAACATCACTTTTTTTATTAACCTTCACGTTGTTGTCAATGGATATAATACACATGCACTAAAAAAGATGCTATGAGGCGACGTTTCAAAAGAAGATGCATCAACAAATGCAGTGAGGTATAAAAATTTTGAATTCTTTGAATAGGGGTAACGGCAATTTTTGGTGGAACTCAGCAGGATCAGGTTCGAAATAGACGCCATTGCAAATTGAGATCTGTGTGATGACATTGCTAACCTTATTGAATCTAATACAGATATTCTGAAATATTTTAATTCTTTAGAGTATTTTTAAAGTGTTACATTTTTTTAAAAATAATCGGGGATAAATTATCTAAACCTTTCTCATCCATAATTTTTTACTATGGATTAATTTAAAGTATAGTTACTTTAAGAAAAAAAAAAACATTCATATGGAAAGTAAAATAGGAGAGAAAATAAAAAATCAATTTTATATAACATATTAAAAAACTTTTGCAAAGGATATATCAATAGAGATATTCATATTAATCTCAGCCTATAATTCATGTCTGGCTTTTATTCTGGCAGAGAGGTTGACCCCCAGATTTTTCTTAAAATTTTGAGATTTAAAACGTATATAGGATACATGGTAAGGATATATGGTAGAAAGATAAATAGCTAAAGTCATATTGTAAACTGTATAAATGCAATAACAATAGAAGATTTTTTAAGTAGTTACTCGGAAATCTATTTACCAGTCTTAATCAATCGTGCATCCTGTGCTCAGTTTAATACGATTCTCTATCGATTAAGCATTAAAATTTCAGAAAAACCACTTGCAAATTTAAATATAATTCAGCACAATTAATATGAAGGTAAATAAATAAGATATATATAATCTAAATATTGTGCATAATCAAGACGTAAATAGCATCACACAGTAAAAAAATTATAGTCTAGCAGGTGCATTTGTATAATTTAAACTTGCTGGAAAAAACTGGTAATACCACAGATCAAATAAAAGGAACTAAATCAAGTTAAAATAAAACATTTTCCTCCATGACAGCTATAATAGGTATTTAGGTAGTAAAATAAACTATATATGCAATCTACAACTTACTTGGCTAACGTAAGCAAACCAACATTATTTTCTGGATTTGATCTAATCTTTGAATGGCAAATCAAGCTTACGGCATCTTGTTGTGCTTGTAAACGAGTGGGAAGAAAGTCTCCATTGCGCATAAAATCACTGTTATCCACACTATTAAAAAATTATAATAAACTTTAAAATTGGAAGGATATATCTTTACAATTATAAAAAGAACGTAATATATATACATAATATTAACCATAGATTTATCAATTTGTTAGAAGAAATTTATAATAAAAAAAAATCTCAGTTTTAGAATTTTCTGAAGAAATAAAATGTCTGTTACTAAAACATACCAGACCGTTTGTTAACCAAAAAATGTTAGGCAGTTTATAATCAATTATAGTAAAAGATTTATAATTTTGGATTTCACGTAAATTTTGAAAAATTTGTACTCTCTTTTTTGGGTTAGCTTCGTAAAGCACCAACTGAAAATAAACAGATATTGAATTAAAATCTTAATTCAAAGTGAAAAAAAAATCTTTAACTTAATACTTAAGAGTTTTTTTACACATAAAACATATATAAAATCAAAGTTTGAAAGCTTTTAAATAGAAGGTATAAGAAGAAAAACTTTGATCATATTCAATACAGTATTTAATTATATTTTGCATCATGAAATTTAAAATGTTATTTTTTTTTTGGGGGGGGNTTGGGGGGGGGGGGGTTGCCTAATGGGTATACTTGTTATACATTAATTCTCCTGATAACATCACTTTTTTTATTAACCTGGATAAAACAAGATTTTTTTATGTAATTTTGCAACGACATAAATATTTTGAGAATATTTTTGTATAAAATATGCTACAATTGCCAGAGTTTTTAAACTAATAGAAGCTTTTACTATTGTAGAAAACCGATACTACTATAGAAATCTTTACAACATTTCAAATATCAATAAGCTGGCAACAGCTCACACACTCTAAAAATCACTAGTTTGACGAATAGCATGACATGCTAGTATCCCTCAGACATCAAACAAACATGAACAAGGTAGTTAAATAAAACTTTATGAATATTAAATGCTAATATTTATAGATATTATCCCAGTTCAATAAAATCTATAGTTTATTATAATACTATGTTAATTAAAAATAATTATGACATTTCTATTAAGAGTTGAGTCATTAGTTTGCTCGAAGGTAGAATCGTGACGAAACGGCAACATTGTCGCAGAACGTCACCGAGTTCTAGCAGAAAGAATTTTCCTTTGGGGAGTAAAAAATTTTGGTTTTCTTTTCTGCTGAAATATTCGAAAGATTTTTTTTCTTCTTCGGAATTATATTCAAAAGATGCCTTTCTCGTGCATCAAAGGAGTGGAAAAAAATGCTTGTGATTTTTCTACTTTTATTTCAGAATAATAAAAAATGAAGAGTAATCAAATTAAAAAAAAAATGGTTTTCTTTCTGCAGACATTTTTATTCTATTTTTTTATGTAGTTATTATTGATTTCCACATAGCTTTTAAATCCAATATTTCTTCTAATAGGATATTATTTATTACAACTCGAAATGAAAACACGCATTCAGTAACTACTTTTTGAAGAACCTGATTCACGTGATTTTGTCGTCGATCTTTATTTTCAGTAACTGCTGGGAATTTCAAGATTTTTTATTATTATTTTAATGTGATGATGAATTACACAATTCAAAAAGGAAATAGTGTGATATTCCCCTACAAAATGTGAGAATATCGCTTAAAATTTTAGAATAAAAAATTTTTTTTACTTGATCAGAATTTTTTCCCCACTAAGTTGATGCTTCTGTTACTTTAAATCAGGGCCTGTGATTTTTTAAAAAAAAAAAAAATAAATCACATTTTTTCTTACTTAAATCTGATTTTTTTGATTTTTATTCAAATACATTGGAAGAACTTTATTTTCTGATTAAAAAACATTATAAATGTTTTATCGAAATTAAATTAATATTAAATCTATATTATAACAATATTTTAGAAGCTCTAACTTACTAAAATAATTTTTCATTATAAGTATATAGCTTTGAATGCATAGCAACCATTTTGAAACAAATGCATGAACGAAACTTAAAGACTCGATGAAATAGAGAATTTAAAGAATACTTCAGGGGTCTGTCTAGGTTTTTCTGAGAGGTACATATATTGTGAAAATTTAGACATAATTTGTGAAAGAGAATTAAATTAAAGAGAATTAAATTTAAAAATGAGCACAAAAATATGGTAAAAATATAAATGTATCATTTCTTACGAGACTCAAAAATAAAATTTTAAGAAAAAGTCTTTTGTGAAACTACCTTTTTTTCTAAAGTTGAATTTGTGAAGGTACCGCTAAATGGTAGTAAATTTGGCTTGGACAGACCTGTGTTCCTTAACTATTTTCTTTTCTCTGTTCTTTAACAAAGTTTCAATTAGCAAACCATAATTTTAATTTAAAACTGTGATTTCTTTAATTCTTCTCTCTTGATTTATAAAATGACAAAAATTATGTAACAGATTGGGTTTTAAATGTATTCATTCATCAAAAATTAAATAAATATTTAATCTATATATTTTTATATTAAAATATTCATTTTTAATCCTATATCAAAATAGATAAGTTCAGCTAAAAAAAATCTATGTACTCAAATTTTTTCTCACAAAATTTCTTTATAGAAAATCTGATAATGTCAAAGATACTGTAAACATATTATGAGAAAAAGAAATATCAGTTAATAATAGCACTGCTTCAAATAGACTTTGAAAGGCAAAAAGAGTATATTTTTGGCATATTAGAGTAATTTCTTTTTATAATAACCTCAAGTTTTGGAAATATACCCTTTCTACCAATAAAATATAATGTAGATTTTAATTCCATGCTTTTTCAATTAAAACATAGAGTTTTAATTAATATTATTTGCATTTTTTTTTTTTTGGAAAAAATTTCATGTTCATTACTTACTTTCAACAGCTATGCAAGTCTATACTAAGACTGCATTAAATGTTTACTTCAATCTGTACTTTCAATCTCAAGAATCAAAAGATTTTCAAAAGTGTAATTTCAAATGTGTTGGAATTTAACACACATCAAGAAAGAAAGTAATTTCGTTAAATAAAATTAATTAATGCAACAATTTATCTAAAATAAATTTTAAAACAAAGAAAAGAAAATAATTAAAGTATCAATTATTTAAAACACTGTTTTTTAACTTTTAAAAAGTGCCTTAAATCAACAAACCCTGCTTTAAATTAGTAACAAGTATATTTGATAGTTTTATAAATATCTTGCAGAAAGATAGTAATATTAAAGAGGTATGTTGAAGAAAGCCAGAAAAAATTCTGTCACAGGGTTTGCTTAATAGTTTTGTTTCATTCAATAAGCAATTCAAATCAATTTTTTTGTAAAATGTTAATTTTACATATTCAATTCGTTAATTCAAGTTCAACTTATTGCTTTGTAAAAGCAGATAATAGATATAATTTTTTTATATTCAATAAGTGAATAGCATATTTAAAATTTTAAGTGTTCGCGAATTATGGGTTTTTATTCAATCTGGACAGTGTCATAATTTTTTGTTATTAAAACCCTTTAAATCCTTCCAAAACTAGAATCTCAACACACACAAATGTCATAACAAAGGTTTTAATATATAAATTTCAGTAAGTTTTTTACAGCAATGATGTACCTTTAACAACATCCATTATTAAAATGACGCACACATTTTGAAGAAAAAAAAAACATATTTTCATAAGATACATAAAATCATTAAATTTTTTAAAGACTAGGATACTAGCTCTTGCAAAAGTGCTACGCCGACGTATAGATATAAATAATTATTAAAAAAAGGAAATTATCATTATGCAATTAATAAAACACAAACGGCACACACTATTACATAAGTAAAATATAATCAAAAGTCATTTTTAAGTAATTCATTTATATAGGAAAGATAATGATAAACAAAGATCCCTAATTTAAAATAGCAAGTCATTCCCGATCGAGACACATTTCGAACTAAAATATTTTATTAGTTCATGACTTAAAAATATAGCTTTTACCATATAATTGTACTTTCCAATACCATATTTCCAAAAATTTATGAAACAGAATTTCAATGTTTAAGAGTTTCTGTTTTATTAATAGTTAATTCTTTTTTCCACACAATCAACAATAAACTTTTCTGTCAACTTTACGGTTTCACGGTTAATAAAGCCATTGCCAAAATTTTAAATTGTAATTGACAGAAATTATTTTCAAAATTATTTTTCAAAACAGAATTTTATTATGCTTAAAGAATTCAATAAAGAATGTTAATAATCAATAAAAAAATTTTAATAATCAAAAAGTAAAAATATGTGTATATTATTTGAATCATTTCGTTCAAGTCAAAAAACCAGAATTTGTTCAAACAAGAAATATTCATGTGAAAATAAATTATATTTACATTTTTTGTCCTTTTTTTCTTTTAATTGTTTGGCATTAAACAGTTAAAGACGTTTTTATTTTTAAATTTATTTTTGAGACATTCTTGTTCACACAAATAAATAATCATTGCCAGTACATACGCCAATCAAATCTTCGAATTAAATTATTTACCTCTCCCTATTGGTCACTTTCACAATGTGTTATAACTCCTGCGCGGATGAGGAAAAAAAATCAGCAAAAAATAATTTTTCAAGCTTTTTGTCGCTGGTTGCTGGTACTGAACTGAATTTGAATTCGCGCCGTTTGTTGACGTGATATTTTCTAAAAAAAAAAAGGTAAATTATATTTGTAGAAGTTATGTTAACCAAGTAAAATTCCTTATACTATTTTGACAGAAAGTTGTGGATTTTTTTTATGATTTCTGTTACTTTTTGAAGTTAATAAAGAATTTTTTTTTGTTTAATTGGTAAGTACCGATTTATATCCTCATCGCCCATCAGACGTTAGCAGTTGCCGTTAAAATGCTAACAACGTTGTATTTCGTATAAAATATTATATATTTAAATTTCTTGTCGTATTTTGTCAGTTCTATTAGGCTGTTGCAAAAAGCGTAGTTTAAACAACTATTTTATCTTAGGTATTTAGAAATTTCATTGATGAAGTGTACCTTACCGTTTTTAGTGATGTAGATGCTTTTTTTATAAAATAAAACTGGCAAGTACAAATTCACACGCTTAAGAACTTATAGGCTTTTCAAAGTGTATTATATGACGAGGAAATGGTAAATGCTATATCTTTTGTTATTAGTGCAAAATATTTAGTGTTAGATCATCTTTTAAATTTTTATTTCAATATGATAAATGGATTAAGTAGCATTGGAAAATTTACGGTTCAGTTTAGATTTATTTAACTTTTATTGCTTTATGGGATTTGTTTAAATGTTGAGTTTATTACCACTGTGCATTCTCCTAAAATTTATGCAGTGTATTGTTTCCTAAATACACTTGTGTTAAAATTAGTATGTCATTACTATCTGTTAAAAATTTCAAAATGTCTGATATCTAATACTGAAATTTAGTTAGAAGTGGTTTGAGTGAAAATTATTGTATATATATTGTAACTATTCATAATATAATAATTACACAACCTTAGTTAATATATCTTATTTAAACCGCATAATGCTATAGTAACCAACTAAAGGTAGGTGGATGTAAAGTATAGACTAATACTAAAAACAAGCAATCTAGCATCTGGGCAAAATGTTTTGTAAGTAAACATGTCCGTTAGCCACTACTTAATTTTGCGGTTCATAGCTTAAAAAAAGCAAGCGACAAGACAAAAGGAGATATTTCTGTATCATGATCTGAGGTCGCGTCAACCGCAATCGCTAAGGTGCCAAGTAAATTTAAAATTTGCGCATTTTTGTAAAGAGAATATGTAGATGTTTGTCCGGGGTTGGCTACAAGTTATTCCTTTCGAGTTGGTCTCTTTCTGTGATGTTTTTTTTTTTAGTTTCTTGCAGGCCACTGCCCAGAAGTTTCCAAGACTTGGCGATTATTTTGCCACAGATCACGATACGGAAATCTCTCCCGACGTAAGTTAATTTAATAAATCCAAAATGCACAGTTTTATTTTAAACGGGTTTGTGGTTTATTCAATAATTTTGAATTTCACATTTGGTGTGTGTATGTTCAATTCCAGTCATAGGGGAGGTTTCCATATTGTGATCTGTGGTTGAATGACCTGAAAGTCTTAACAACTTCCTGGCAGTTGCCTGCGCGAAACAGAAAAAAACATCACGAAAGGGGCCATCTCGGAAGGTTTAAATTGTAACCTCTAAATGTTTTTTTTTTTAAAATTTTCCCGTTAAAATCAATTTTTCACCTTGGCGATTGTAGTTGGCAGGGCAGATCACGATGCAGAAATGTCCTCCAGTATGATTTAAATAGTTTCCAAACTTTTTTGGTAAAATCCTAGCATATGTTGCATTGTGTTGAAAACTGTTAACTTGTCACAAACTGTTGGTATATCAGGCAGTGGCGCCAAAAGAGCAAGTCTAAATCATTTAATAAGTAGATGTCTAGCCAAATCTATTTCAGATTGTAAACTTTATTGCTTTCTCAAACATTGCCAATTTTGCCAAAACCAAGTATACTAGTATTGAACCCATTTTTGCATAGATTTTCATACATTGATATTTTTAATATGATATTAAGGGTTGTGGATTTTGAGTAATCAGGGATATTTCCGTTTTTAGGAATGTGCCAGTATTTGTTTGCATCTACTGCAATCGCCAGAGAACTATATACCGAGTTCTCCTACGTTTACTGAAATGAGGTTTTTGGGCTCAGACTCATTGTGAAATTTTAATAAACTTTTTTATTACTTACCAATAAGCTTTTTTAATGCTTAACAAGACATTTTTACGTAATGTAATATAGAAAGCAGAGTATAAAGATAAATTTTTCATCTTAGAGGCTTACAAAGAGAGTTTATGTTTGGGAATTGTACAGACGATAAAAAAACTTGCTTGCTGTCCTCTTTGAAATTTTTTTTTTTCATATTGAATTATTGACTTTTTTAGCGTGACTTTTTTTTTACAGGTTATTGATTAAAAAATCATAATAACTGATTTCCTTGTTTCAACATCAAATTTTGACCTCGAAGTTTGGCATTTTACTGATGTATATCTTCGACTCAAGCTATAAGTAACCTTGTGCATCTTGGTCTGGCTCGGATAAAAATACTTCAATCCCTGGTGGGCTCGGACTTACAAAAGCTACTCCAAATTCATCTCTTGTGCCCATCTCCTCAAATTAAAAAAAAATTCTCCCCCAATTACGCAAACAATAAAGATGCGTGTGAAAATTTTAGATTTAAACAGCAAAATTCTGATTTCTATTTATGTCATACTTAGAAAAATTTTGTAAAGCATACATTTTTGGTGACAATTAACATTTTGAAAAGAGAAGGAAAAAAACACTTAACAAGAAAAAAAAAATTCTTTTAGATCTTAATGCAAAGCTAACACACAAGAGGGTAAAATATTCTGGTTTCAAAATGTTTCAATTTAACCTTATGATTCAGATTGCAACGCCTAAATTTAACGTCATTGTAACTAGATATTGTACATATAAATAATACATTTAATATACAAAAATTAATTTGAAGTGTGTGGAAAGGAATTTTTAAAATTTAATAGTTTTTAATTATATCTTCTGGGGATTGTATTTTATCACATTGTGTATGAATTAAACATACTATTTAAGGGTGTTAATTTTATTGTGAGTTAAAAATCTTTATGATAATGATGAAATCTTTCATCATTATGAAGTTCGTTTAAGTATGAAGCATGAAAAGTTCCTTTCCGTTTTGACTTCAGACTAATTCTTTTATATTATTTAATTTTAGAATATACTTACGTTTTTTTTTAAAAAAATGTAATTTTTTGAAAATACATTTAGTTAAGAGTATTTAATTTACGTGGTTTAATTTTACATGGTGATATACTTTTCTGGTGTTTATTTTTTCTTACCTGTGAGAATATTAATTCATAAGCAGGGTGGAAATTTTTTTTTTTTTTTACAAGTTTAACTTTGCTAAGTGTCTTTACTGCCGAATAATTTAACTATTGGGGTTGTGTTCACAGTTAATAAAATCCAAATGTAATTGGGAAACATGATGATTAGTTATATGTAAGCAGAGGTGATTGTGCTCCTGAAGTTTTCACAAATCCTAAGTCTTAAAGTTTCAAGAAATCATTGATCACATTTGTGTATAAAAATTCTTGTATATTTTATTTAAAAATATTAGATCTAAAATTTATACTTGGCATCTTTCATTTGTAAATATTTTTTCTGGTAGAATAATAAATGTGATTAGAGATAAAAATAAACTTATACATATTTATTCATTTAAATTATGCTGTATATAATTTATTCAGAATTCAATGTTTTAAAAATATCAATGATTTGAATTTATAAAGACATTATGCGTCTTTAATAATTTTTTTTTTTTACTCAAGAAATTTTCCGGAATTTTGAATTGGACTCACAATCACCCTTGTATAAATAAAGTGGATATAAATATAAAACTTAACAAAATCCACAGGTTCATCACAGGTTTGCTACTAACTTTCCTTTATGTTCGGAGAAATCTTTTTCTTCTGCAGTTTCGAAAACGTTTATGTCATCAATGTTAGCATTAGTTTTCAATTCTTTGTAAACTTATTCAAAAACTAAGGAGTTTAACCAGCAGCAAAATGCATAACTTTTATTTTTGTAAGACTTGTTAACACTGCAGTTGTTACAAGAAATAAGGATTTGTTGCATAATAACTTAGATTTCTTAGAGATCACCAACATCTTTTTAGAAAAGTTATTAAATCTTCCTCTTAAAATTAATATTTTAGTTCAACTGATCCACTGGCTATAAATCTGCATCTCTTATTATTTAATGTTTGAGATAAAATGAAATTGGCTGAAAAGAATATTTCACATTAAAAAAAAATACAAAAAGTATCCCCAACCAAAAAGTTTTCATTCTTCTAGAACTAAACCACTAGTTTTAAATGTGCTTCTCTTATTTGTTATTTTATCTCATTGTAAATTTTAACATTGATCAGTATAAATTAAATTTTTTAATTATACAGTAAAATTAAAATGTTTCTCTCCAAAAAAGATTTTAAGGACTATCTCTATCCAAAAATATAGCTTCCTTAAATAATCAAAAATATTCTTTAATGTTGATAATTACTATCCTTGAATATTTGAACATAGTTAAACCATCCAAATTTCTTCAGATGTTCTACATGTCATGTTCAAAACGAAAATTGGAGCTTAGTCAAATATCAAAAATATTATGCTGCATTGAACTCGACAGGAAGTATGCTGCATTGAACTCGTTTGATACTTCCTGTCTAGCTAGCTTTTTTTAAAGCTAGCTTTTTATAAGTGTAAGCTTTGGATATGATATAAGTGTAAGCTATCAATGATATTTGCAATTGATACGCAATTTGTGAAATGAAGTTCTTTGGTTTTAAGTGTTAAAGATTGCTGTTGATTGCTAATGAGAAATGTAGTAAAGAAATGAAATGCCTTTTTTTTATTATTAAGATTGGTTTACTAACAATATATAAATAATGCTGAATTTTTTTAAGCTAATTTAGGATGGGTTTTTTTTTGGGGTGTTATTTTATAAAATTATCAATCGAAAACAGCTGATAAGTTAAGCAGAAAATCAGAAGATAACTGACATTTCACTTAGTGTACTAACCAATAAAACTGTTAAACTTAAATTATGTCATCTGTAATCGTCAAACACATTATTCACTCCTTAATAATTGTTTGCTTTTTATTATTGTTTTTACTTGATCTTGATCATTCATTATATACAAATGTTATAAAAAATAATTCAATTTTTTAGACATGTCTAGTAGCACTTTTGAAGTAAAGGAGCCAGAAAACGGAAGTGATAAATTGCTTGATCTTGGAATCGATACTACTTGTGAAGAAAATGGTCTTGAAGTATCAACTCATGTAGACGGAGAAGTTCCAAGAGATCATACTTACAACAAAGAGCCTGATATTGAAGAGGTAGGGTTTTAAAATGAATTTGCTTGAACAGAAGTGTATGCCAAGTTTCATATTTATAGTGAACATTAAACAAGATGAATGAGTGAAATCGTAACTTCATAAGTACTATGTGATTACTTCACAAGCACTATGCTAATGAGTGAAGTATTAACCACGTAGGCTGAATTTTTAAAATACCAAATTTAAGAAAACCCTTTGCAATACTAAATGTTTCAATATAATTTTATTTGCTGTAAGTTTGGCATTTCAGGCCATAATAAAGGTTCTAGTGAATTGCACGAAAATTTTATGAATCCCTTCAAAATTAATTTTAAAGTTCCTTACTTATCAAGGCAGTGTAAGTAGTTTGGGGAAGAAAAAAAACTTGAAGTATGTGTGATGATTTCTGGGCAAATTTATGTCAGACAATTTCATTTATACAGGGATGAGATTTTTTATCGGATTTCCGCTTTTTTTACTTTTGTGTCTCGAATATCCGCCTTTTTATCAAAAACTCCGATTATCAAAAAGTTTCTCTTTTTTTTAAAAAAAAATTTTTAAATAAAGATTTTGCTTTTTCGAAAAATTTAGCCATTGAAATAAAAGAATTATATTTATTTCCGATTTGCAAAGATAAACAGAAAATTCAACCTACATATCTGTCAATTCTTCCACATTTTTATATTTTAGCTATTTTCGCCGCTTTTATGCACAGAAGATACGATTTTCCTCATTTTTACCCGTCCGCCAGATAGTTCGTATTTTCGTACTTCAAGCTTTTTAAAAGTCTCAAGCCCGGAATTTTCTATAACATTTTGATTCTTATTCACGCGATTTGAATATACTACAATATGATTCTTATTTACGAGATTTAAAAATCCAATATCACTATTTGTATTTACGCGTTTTTAAAAACCTATGTGACGATTCGTATTCACACGAGTTTAAAATCAATTATCGCGATTCTTGTAAGAAGTACGTTTCTTTGAAATTAGTTACTATAAATGTGACTGTTTTTCTATCAACAATTATTAGCATATATAGGCATATTCAAAACTTACATTCTGTCCTTGCCAGGGTTGGGTTTTTGACATGACAAGGGTATAATACTGGTTTAAACCGTCAAAAACTGAAGTTTGCCAAGAAAATATATAAACTTCCAAACTACCAACAGTTGCCATGCATTATATGGAAATTTAATTATACTATAGGTAATCAGCAGGTTTTAAAATATTTTTTTATTAAAATTAAGGTAAAATAACAGATTTAAAATCTCAGAAATTTATATTCAAATGCATGTGCAGAAAAATTTTGCACAAAAATTGTTTAAATATTTATATTTTGAAAAAAAAAATTTTTTTTTTGATACTTAAGAAAATTAAAAGTTTATTACTATGCATTTTTGACATATAAGGAACATATAACTAATATTTATAAGGAACTTACAAGTTATGTTGTATAAATACAAACTTGATATAAGATACAAGTGTATAAAAAATTTTTTTTAATGTTATACCGAATATCTTTATTATCCAGTATGTTAATTTGAATTTAAAAGTAGTTATATTTGTGAATAATGATAAATATAATTCATATTGTTTATTATATTTATTTATAATTATTACACTTATCATTTTAAAACAATTTTTATCTCTTAATTTTTTTTTCTCCACTTGTATTAAGAATACAAATAATGCATATCTTGAAAGCAAGAAGTAATTATTCAACAGCTGAATATTTAGATATTCAACAAAACTATATAGTATTCAGCAAAATGAAATTCACAAGTATTTGGATAAACTAAATTTTCAGCATAGTAAATGAATAGGCTGAATATACTGTAAATCGACACTAACTACTCTGTGTATTTAACAGAAAGCACTTAAATTTGTATTGTCTTATGTTAAAAAGATTATTAAGAAGATTTAAAAGAATATTAAAAAGATTTCAATTTAATACATGTCTAATGTACAAAACTGCTAATGTTTATCTTTAAAAATGTCTAATTTTTAGTATAATCTATATTATACACTTAATTTGGTTTTAAATAAATTTCTTAATAATATCACTGCAGATTTTCAATAACACGTGAAAATGAAAACATAATATTACAAAAGATGTGAGCTTTCAAAAGTACAAGATTTTGGTTACTATTCAAAATATAAGTGTTTCTTCAAAATTTTAAATTTATTTTTTCTAGAACATATTTAGAAACACTATCCTTTATAAAAAATATATAAATTTTATGTATTAATTAAATTTCACATATGAATATAGGTTTTTGACATTTTCGACATTTTTGACAGTGAGGTTTTTGACGTGACGGTTTAAACCATGGTTTAAACTGTCAAAAACTGTCACATGTCAAAAACCTGCCAACCCTGGTCCTTGCAAAGAAGAATGTGACGAAGGCAGTTAAAGAAAGAAAAAATAGGATTTGTGAAAAGATGTTTGAAGATGGGCTAACGACTAAATTAATCACCATTCTGTTTCCCCTCATTCACAAGCTGCATTATGAGAAATTTGACCTTGTTAAAAGATTTTTTGCTGGTTTTGTAAAACGTGAAGCGTTTGCAGCAAGTTAAGCAAAAAAAAAAAGATATAGCAAACAAAAGCAATCACTTAAATTATTCAATTTTTTGTGGAAAATGAGTTTTTTAACTCAGCACCGAAATTTAAGAAATAATGCTGCTGTTATTTATGATATAAAATGCGAAATTCTTATCATATGAAAAATAATTATCTAAACAGTTGCTGACCATGTAATTTTTTCAAACTAAAATAGCAATTTTTGTTGGTTGTTATCTTAAATTGTCAGGAATTTATTATTAAACAATTGCTCACACGTAAAATTTACTCACATGGAAATTCAGCTTTTTTGCCAATCTCATCCCTGTTTATACTTAAACGTGGATAAGGATTTCGTGCATTGCCTCTCAGTTTATTTGCTTATTAGTAAAGTTTATATGCTATGCAAACAGTTATGCAATTTCTTAACTTTTAAGAAAACATTAATGAATTTGAATTCATGGTAAATTAATGCCAGGCAAATAACTCTTACGCTTAAAAAAAAATGAAGATATTAGATGAAAGCCTTTGCTTCTCCCACTCATTCCTAATCTGCCCGAACGAAAGTAGCACCCAAGGGAAAATAAAACAGTTCCTTAACTTATTTATTATAAATATGAATTGGTTATGGCATTAATAACGATCAATCCATTAAAAAAAATTTCATACTGTTCATCAAGGTTTAAGTCATTTAGCTATTGAAATCTAGAGTAGTAGTCCTACGCAAAGTGGAATAATTTTTTTTTAATGTGTTTAATATAAATTTGTTTAATTATCAAAAAAATACTGTCTCTATAGAATTGTTATAGCAGTGTTCACATCTTCTCAGTCATTATGTGTTTATTTTGTAATTTCAGCAAGCAGACGAAAAAAATAGTGAAGGTGAAGAAGAGACTGATAAAATGGAAAGTACCTCATCTCCAAAAAAGAAAGGTGGTAAATTTTCGAAGGCAAAAAAAGCAGATAAACCTGCTGGTCGAGGAAGACCGAAAAAAGAGGTGGTCAAGAAAGAACCTGTGTCTAAAAAGGTAAAAAATATATATATTAGTTTTAATTTTTGTTGCCAACTCTTAAGAGCTAAATAAAAATTTGTTGCAATTTAATTCCTTTAAGGCAAAAAAGAAAAATCTGTTGATTGCTCGCAAAATTTGAGTCCTATGATGGACATTTTACAACTCCTTTTACGGCTTTCCTTTCACCCTACTGGGTTTTACCAATTTCTTCTACTCTACGGGTTTAAAAAAGTCACCTGACTTTTGCATACTTTAGAAAAAAAACTGGAAATGAAAAAGTTTTTCGAGAAAAAAAATCCATTGCAATTTTTTTTTACACAGTTTATTGTTTGAGTATTTAAATAAGTATTACCATGAAATAAGGGTGCACAACTTTTGAGTGAGAGGCCTCTCACAAATCAGGCTGAATAACAAAGGGCGACATGCATATTTAGACATGTTGATGGCAAATATAATAATTTTTCTTAAAAACATTAGTATTCAGAGCTCTTAATTATTTTGTAAAATCAGGGTTGGCAGGTTTTTGACATGTGACAGTTTTTGACAGTTTAAACCATGGTTTAAACCGTCATGTCAAAAACCTCATCGTCAAAAATGTCGAAAATGTCAAAAACCTATATTCATATGTGAAATTTAATTAATACATAAAATTTATATATTTTTTAAAGGATAGTGTTTCTAAATATGTTCTAGAAAAAATAAATTTAAAATTTTGAANTTAAGAAAGTTTTTCCGATTTTTATCAAAAATTGATTTGTATACAAATATTAATTTATCATATATCAGAGATGATTGTATTCCAGGTGTAGCCGAGAATTCCGGGTTTTTCATATCATTTTTCCATGTCTGAAAACTGAAAGTGAGGCATGGGATTTTCCCTCGAATATCACAGACTTCTGCGAATCAAGAACTTATACTCCGATGAAAATTTGGAACTTGTGAAATTCTGTTAACGAAACGTTTACAAACACCTGGTTCTTCCGCCATTTTGGTTCTGCTGATTTTCCCCGTTTTGAAATTTTGGAACTGTGCTGTAGTTGGCTGATATCCCGATTCTTACCCATGTGATTTTAATACATTGTCAAACATCATTGTTTTCCTTGTTTACTCTATGTAATAGTTACACATTGTGATTCTTATTCACATGACTTTGAGATTGTACATTGCGGTTTTTATTCATGCAAATTCAAAATCGAATATCTTGGTTTGTATTCACACATTTTTAAAATTCAGTATTGTGATATGTATCCACGAGGTTGTAATATTAAAAATCTAGTTTCCTATTTATGCGTGATTTAAAAACTATACATTGTGATTCGTATTTACATGGTTCACAAAAAATCTTAAAAATCAAAAAGAACTTTTTTGATAAATCACTCAAAAAGGCTGTGCACTCCAGGTTTTGACTTAAAGTTCCCTACACCTGGAATATTTAGTGTAAATGTGCAAATTAAAACATGAAACCTAAAACTAGATATTGGTGATGCTATATCAAAATTATGCAATAGTATTTTTCAGTAAGTTTACTGGATGTTTTTCTTTCCATGTTGGCCGCTATGTCCTTTACAAATTCTTCTTATAACCTTTGCAAGGCACTATTTTCTACAAAGTATACCAATAGTTGTCCTTAATATGTATTAGTAACCATATTTTTTATTATCCTGTGATATGTCATCTTACAATATTGTTATTGTACAGTAAAAAATATCAAAGCCTATAACATCTTAATAAAATTAATTTGGGTCCATTATAATCTCACTTAGGCATTTGTGTGAATGGAAATTTTTAGCGTTAAAAATCTTAATTGTTCACATCATTGAAGAGCTCACTACTTGTAGGAGAGAACAATTTGTTAATAATATAAATTAACTTGTTACTTATTTAATTTTTCTATTATTTTTATTTTAGTGGGATTTTAATTTTCTTGTTTATACCGTGTCAAACATTGTGACAATATGACCGCATGATGGCACATAGATACCATGCTGCAAATTTTAAAGGCCATTTTATAAGCTTTTTAGTTTGGTAGTTTCGAAATTGACCTGATGTTGGTTGGACACAATTTATAATATAAAAAGTATTAATATTACTATGTAATTAACATTTTATATTATAGTTGATATTGTAGTTTTAGAGCAAAGGAGAAAAAATTTATTTTTATGTCCTTTTTTCCTTTCGATTTAATTTTTTGAACTCACCTCAGCGAATTTCTTAGAAGGCTTAATGAGATTGATAATTTGCAATTGCTATTAGTTTAGTTTTAATAATTGTTGAAACAAAATTATGTTTCGTTTAAATAGAAGCTTTTTTAAATTTTAAAATAATACAACTGCATAAAATTATAAAATTTCAGTGATTTGTAAACTGACTTGTCTAATGAAAAACAAATTAAGAAATAATGGTATAGAAATCAGTTAAAAATATTTTTCTGAAACTTTATGACTCTCCTGATGTGATAGTTAGGCTGTAGTGAAAACTGATAAAAATGTTTATAATTATTTTAAGGTAAGCTTTTTGTTCATTACTTTAGGGTAAGAAGAAAGAAGTTGTCAATACTGAGGAGAAGCCAGAAGTTGATACTCCTCCTGTGAATAATGACGAGGTTGAAACTAAAGAGGACCCACCTGTAGTTGAAGAGAAGGAAACGTCTAAAGCTGCAAAGAGGGGTAGGAAGAGAAAGGTTGAGGAAAAGGAAAATGTGATTGACGAATCAATCATAGAAGAAGTTCAAAACATTACTGAAGATCCAGCACTGACTGAATCAACTGTTGAGAGCCCAGCTAAAAAAGCAAAAGTGACAAGTGAAGAAAAACCTACCAAAACCAAAAAAGCAAGCACACCTAAAACTCCTTCTAAAGATGATGGAATTGAAGATACCACTAATCTACCAAAGGGTTGGGTTAGAAAGTTTGTAACTCGTAAATCTGGAAAAACTGCGGGTATGATTGATGTGTATATTTACAAGTAAGTTTCATTTTAATAAAAAAAAATTTTTTTTTGAATTCTAAATTAATTCCTTTGTTATTATTCATCAGCGAAATTCTAACATAATTTTTTATGGTGTATTACAAATTTGAGTTATCATTTTTTCTGATTCTTATACCAATTTACCAAAACTGCTTGTTATCTTATACTTTTACTTTCAATTATCTGGCATCCCTTTAACAAACAATAAGAGTATTCTGATTAACAGTTCATAATTATTATAGCTGCTATTTCATTTCTAGATCTTATGCCAATAAATCATATATTCAATCAGTGTTTTCATTACAGAAAAAAAAAATGGGAGAGAATTTCTCACCCTTTCTCAAAAACAGGGTGAGATTTCAAAAAGTTAAGTGATATTTCTGAAAATTAAAAAAACACGAATAGACTTGGGAAAAAATATTTCTTTAATTATAATAAATTTTTAACATCTTCTAATTTCTAAATTGCTGCATTATCATATGGGAAATGTTCTGTATCTACTTTTTCATCAGCTATTCTCATTAGGTTTGCTCAAATGCTTATCAATCGATCTGTTACGATGTTTTAATTCAGTTTTGGGACTAAATGTCCTTGCAACAGATGCTGAACTATTCGGAATCACTAATTAAATTTATAGCATTGTGCACACACTTTCCTATCCTCTATATCTGCCAGCATATGCTCTTCAATTATTTCTGTTATGGAATAGTGAAGTTCATTGAAGTTATTTCCATCTTCTTCATACTCTTTGTTAGGTCTTCCAGATTAGTTTTCAGACTTAATTTTACAAATTGCTCTAAATTGTCGATGAGGGAATTTGGTAATTCATTAACAGCGAAAAATATAGATAACTTTAAACAACTTATGAAGAACTCACTTTTTTTTTCTCAACACTTGTCGTAACTGTTTTCATGTCTTTTTCAATATGGCGGAAAACTAAATTTTTTCCGAAATTCGTGAGATTCATGCATTTTAAAATTGATTAATACAGTGTCCGAACTTCTCGCGTTAATAATTTTTTAATGTGAGAAAAGAAAAAAATATGCGAGATTCTCATGCTGTAGTGAAAACACTGATTCAATGCAGTTTTATCAACAAAAAAAAATTCATTGCTGTGGCAATCATTCCAAATTTTAAGTGCTAGAAAATTACTATTAAATCAAAAACAAAAATTTATCAATGTTTTTTTTTTCCTTCTTAATATTGTATTGTTATTTATGATTAAAAAAAAGCACAAGTTAAGATTTTTCTTAACTTTTATTGCTGCTATATAGTTTTGAATAATTTGACTCTTATTTAATATTTATATTTTACTTATGATTCCTATGAACCAGTTAAAGTCAGGAAATATGAGATTGGATATTAAAATAGAAGTCAGGGGAGAAACTTGATTTTATCTCATAACCTGGAATTGTCTAGAAATTCTTCACCCTTTCAAGTTTTGCTGAAAGTGTGGGGCTTCATGCTTTTGTTTGCAGTTACACAAAGAAATATTAAGAAGTAATTTATTGTATGTCCCCGACCCGCCTATCTATGAGCATACGGGAGAGGCATTAAAAACACAAAATTTACATCAAGTGGATAGATGGCAACAAGCCATCAGATACAAAATTTACAATACACAAAAATTAACATCAAGTGGATGGATGATAGATCAGATACAAAATTTACAATACACAAGACAGATAAAGAGCAATGCATAGCGATAAAGTAAGTAAAACCTGGTTGTGTTCTGAGCAAGAGACAGCCGAATCGAAAGATCCTTAAAACATTGGCAATACTCAGCCACAAAGGGAAAGTTAAAAATATAATATATATATATATTAAAAACATATAACAATGACAGGTTAAAAGCGCAATAACAAGCCAAAAGGGGTACAAAGTGATCAAGGTAGTTAAAACCATGAATCAATAGGGACTCGTGAAAATAAAACCAAACAGTGGTAATACAAAAAAGTTACATGCGCACAAAAAAATTTAAAAGTTGAAACCAGCAACAAGTCAAAGCCTGAGAGGTATACAAGTTAAGACTAGCAAGAAGTTAAAACACAAGAGGCGCACAAAGTAAAAGCAAGGGTGCCCGGATGCCGGCCAATGGCTCTACTGGGAGAACGGGTGAAGGACGGGCCGGTGAGACTAGACCTGATTAATTTTTAGTAGATCTTCTAGTGTGACCCTAATGATTTCCTTGACGATATTTTTGCAGTCATTACTTGAGAAGATCTGATGCTCAGTTTTATTAGTAAAGATATCCCCTCGGAGTGCCCGGAAGCGTGCNCCCGCCCATCTATGGGCATACGGGAGAGGCATTAAAAACACAAAATTTACATCAAGTGGATAGATGGCAACAGGCCATCAGATACAAAATTTACAATACACAAAAATTTACATCAAGTGGATGGATGGCAACAGGCCATCAGATACAAAATTTACAATACACAAGAAAGATAAAGAGCAATGCATAGCGATAAAGTAAGTAAAACCTGGTTGTGTTTTGAGCAAGAGACAGCCAAATCGAAAGATCCTTAAAACATTGGCAATACACAGCCACAAAGGGAAAGTTAAAAATATAATATATATATATATTAAAAATACATAACAATGGCAAGTTAAAAGAGTTATAACAAGCCAAAAGGGGTACAAAGTGATCAAGGTAGTTAAAACCTTGAATCAATAGGGACTCGTGAAAATAAAACCAAACAGTGGTAATACAAAAAAGTTACATGCGCACAAAGAAATTTAAAAGTTGAAACCAGCAGCAAGTCAAAGCCTGAGAGGTATACAAGTTAAGACTAGCAAGAAGTTAAAACACAAGAGGCGCACAACGTAAAAGCAAGCGTGCCCGGATGCCGGCCAATGGCTCTACTGGGGGAACGAATGAAGAACAGGAGTGGAGGGCGGGCCGGTGAGACTAGACCTGATTAATTTTTAGTAGATCTTCTAGTGTGACCCTAATGATTTCCTTGACGATATTTTTGTAGTCATTACTTGAGAAGATCTGATGCTCAGTTTTATTAGTAAAGATATCCCCTCGGAGTGCCGGGAAGCCTGCACAATCAAAAAGTAGGTGGTGAATGGTTTGTTCTTCTGTGCAATATTGACAGATACCACTTTTGTTGAAAAACCTTTTTTGATACACTCCGTGGCCAGTAATGAATTGATTTAGGTAAAAGTTTGTAAGTAACCTTTTAGTTGATGGTGTTTTAATGAGATCATAGGTTTGCCTCCCTTTTGGACAGTTCCTCCACTCCTCTGCCCATTTAATAAGGATACTATCCCTCAGTTTACTCTTAACCTGTTTTGGGGTCCTCAGCCCTTGGAGTTCCACCGTGTCTAACCCAATGGCCATCTTGGCTGTTTCGTCAGCTTCTTCGTTACCCTGGATGCCCACATGCGCCTTAACTCAGTTTAATTTTATATTTTGTCTCCAGAGCAGTAATATTAAGAAGTAATAAAGTTCATGGCAGAGTTGACCATCACATGGTCCATTATTGAGATTCTTTTTTATTCTTCAGCATTTCTGGTAATGAGAAATAGTAATAGGATATGAATGATTTAAAAAAAAATTCAAAACTTCTGTCTTTACATTTGAATACCAATTTTTTGAAAACAGTGGTGGAGCGTGAGGAATTTCAGACATACCAACTCAGCATTTACGACTAACTCAAAATTTCTGGTTTAATTCCCGCCTTGCTGAGTCGTGTCAAAAATAGTTTCACTTTTGCAAAATAAAGGGACAAACTTAAAATATCTGTAAACCTATCTTTTCCTGAAAAGAATTATGTATATATATATATTTTAAATCAATTTCCACTGTTTCTCTGTGTTGAACATGTTATTCTGGTGCAGTCATGTCTCTGTAAATCTGTTGGTGTTAGTTCACTGTTTTATTTATAAATCTGCTCCTCGGTGCTTGATCTTGGGGTTTGTTTATTAGTTGAGTTTAGGGCAGTCAATGACGGGGCCTTATCATTTTGTAATTTTCTTCTCCCTTTTTGATTAATGGAAATTAAGTTCAATGAAAATTTTAATTGTGCGAGATTTTGCACTGTAGAACTGTCTACTAATTGCACAAAGTATTTAAGGCTTCTTATCAGTGTTACTGCATATCATTTTCAAAGATTTATAACCCTTGAGTTATTTTATGAAAAATAAATTACTAATTAACTGACATTTTATCAGGGTTGGGTTTTTGGTGTCAAAAATTTGACGAAACATGTCAATAACTGTCTAAAACCTGTAGGAAGCTGCTTTTTTTTTGACATAAGAGTCATTTTATTAGATATTAAATCATGTATGATACTTGCATTATATCAGATTAAGTAAAACTAAAATGGTTGCCTATAATTGTCTGATCTCAAATTTTTTTTTTATTGTTTTAAATTATTTGTTGTCCCACATACTATGTTCTACATTGATAAAAAGAAATATAAAAGATTGTCCCAAATAGATTTGACTCATTCGATGTTTTTGAAGCAGATTCAAATCATTTAGCATGTTATGTAGGAGTTTTTTATTTGGAAAAAATATTTTTTCTTAGTTTCTTCAATACCTTAAGTATTTCATTCCATATCATAAAATTTGATAATAGTAATGGGATACTTCAAATCTTGTATATAAAGTCAGATAGTGGCAGTATTTACCTGTAGACAGGCAGGTCAGGTTTATGCTTTCATGGTTATTTTTTATTGTTTAAGAATTCTCCAAATAATCTGTTTAAAATATGTTTCTCTTCCTCAAACTATCAAGAGCTATGAAATTCCAGTGCTTGCAGCTAATTTTACTCTAATGTTTGTTAAAGCTTTTTTCGCATTGTGTTGTAATTCATTCATCTAACGTGTGTTTGGATGAGATTAACAAGGTTATATTTATATGTCCCAAACATTTAACCATTGTTTTACTATGTTGTGTATCCATGCATGAATTTAGTTTATTTTATATGCTTATTTATTTATTTTTCATGATTTAGCCCGGAAGGTATGAAGTTTCGTTCGAAACCTGACGTTGCTGCATATTTAGCAAGAACCAAATCCTCACTAAAAATTGATGATTTTGACTTTGGTAAAAGGAAGTCTAGCGCTCTTACAACAAATTCTACGAAATCTCCCCCCAAAACAAAATCTAAACCAGCAAAAACGAAAGTGGTGAAAAAGAAGCCTCAAACTCCAAAGAAAAGTGCAAAGTTAGTCGTTGCAATAGTTGCAAAAAAGAAGGGGAAGTCTCCTCAGAAAGCAGTAAAAACCAGCAAAGCTCCTGCAAAAGCTGAAAAGGCAAAAAATGTGAAATCAAAAGGAAACAAGAAAAAGACAACTGCATAAATATTTGGTGCAAGATATGAAATGTTGTACATCATACTTTCATTTTTTTAAAAAAATAAACTGTAGTTAGCCCCTTACACTTAAGTTAGGCTTTTAAATATTGTCCTTTTTCAGGAGTTAAACTTCACCCATGATGCTAATTTTGTAATGCATTGAAAGTGTAATCTTTGTTTTAAAATTTAATTTTGTGTTTATGTTTCCCGTTACAAATAAGCATAATGTGAATTTGTGTATTTTCTTTTATAAGTTATGACCTTTGTATTTAATAAGCATTATTTCACATGTTAATTATATTTCCCGTTGCAATTGTTAATTTAGCTTCTAGGATAGGGTGCTCAACAAATGGATCTCATGTGGCCAATATGTTACCCTTATCTTTTATCCCCCAAAAAATATGAAAAATGCCGCACAACTAGGTTAGAAAAATTCATAATTGTTTTTCATACTAATTACAATGTATTCGAATTCCAAAATGCAGAGGTATTGATTTGCAAGTATTTTTTTTAATTGATCATAGGTAGTTTATTTTAACAAAAAGATAAAATTATTTTTCCTAAGAAGAAAGGTTAAAAAAATTTTATAAATAAATAATTGTAGTTTGACTAAAAGCTATGCTTGCAAAACTGCAATTGATTTTGCTTTAAGAATATTCTACATATATTACGTATACTCTTTCTACTCATTTTGTTGGTCATGAAATTGTTGAACCTTCTTGGCCCACAACAATCTTGAGCAGTACTGCTTTTTANTAACATATAAATAAATACAAGAAAACACTAAGAAAGTTAAGAAAAACAATAAGTTATATATATATAATAAATGCCTTACTTTAATTTTTATAACTACTTGATATTCTTATATTGAATTGAGGAATAGTTAGAAAACTGAATTCAGTGGGACCGTCGCCAATAGCCCATTGTGCAGCTCTAGTGCGACGTAAATGAAGAACAACAGCAATTCAGTGGAGGGAAAATTAATTTTTTTTTCTTTTTTTTTGTGTGATCCTCCTTCAAAGAAAGTCTTGCACCTCTATACTCTACCACATATACTTTAATGAATTGATGAAATGTTTTTTAATATGTTTTCACTAAAATATTAATAGTAGTACTTGAATTGATTTAATGCAGTTATGACATAAAAGTATTAAGTGATTAATTTTGAAATAACACCCATGTACATATCTTCAATTATATCCCTTGGAATATTGCAAGGTTTATAGGAATATAAGTATATATAGAGAGAGGAAGTGAGAAAATTGTATTTTAACTGTAAAAGTTTATCCTGGACTTTTTTTTGTTTGTATTTTTGAGGATAAATAGTTGAAATTAATGAATTTGTATTTTAGCTGACTTTTTATGTTATTTATCCTTTTATATCCTTTTCATGCGACCCTCCAGAGAAAGTTGTGTACCTCTATTCTATCACATTATATACTTATTTCAAATAATGAAATGTCTGTATTTTCTCAATAGAATATAAATTGTAGTATTTCAATGGATTTAATGCAGTTATGACATAAAAGTATAAAGTGACTATTTTGAAACGATATCCATGTACATACCTTCAGTGAAGTCCTTTGGATTATTACAAGACTTATAGGAATGTAAATATGGGCGAGAAAAATGGGAAAACTCTATTTTAACTGTAAAAGTTCATCCTGGACTTTTTTTTGATTTATGAATCAGTACTTTAGCTGACTTTTATTTTCTTTAACCACTAAACGTTAATCCTGTGAGAAAAATAGTTCCAAAATTCCCTTGCTTGGCACTATTTCCCCCATTAAATGACGTAGAGAAAACAAAGTCTGCTTAAAGTTCGGAAAAAAGCCAGGACTATTACACAAATAGTTAAAAGTTTATAAATGCCATTTTTTGCTAAATTAGATTTTATTCCAAATTACTTTGTTATTAAGTGATATTAATACAGCTTCTTTATGCATGCTGCACAGTACTGATTTTTTAAAGCTTGTTATTTGTATTGTGATTTTAGTTTTGCATTGGTACTCATATATAATTGTTTTGATTCAAAGATATTTTTTCTTCAAATTTTTTTTTCCGGAAATTTTATAATTAAATGCAAGTTTATTCCCATATAATTGTAACTGCACATGAGACTTACCTTTATGTGTGTTACTGTATTTCATGTAAGTGTTGCTAACTATAGGTTTCTTTGCTTTTGCTTCATTTTTTTGTTTTTATTTTATCACTCATGAATAGCATTCTTTTAAATTCATATGAGTAAAGATGTAATGAATAATCAAACAAATTTCAAATCATTTTCAATTTTTACTAAATAAGCAGATATCAAGTGTATTAATCTTTCAAAATGATCTGAAATACAAAATAAATATTTATTAGTTTTTGTTTTTTTAATTTGCCTTTTTTAGCTTTAAAACTTATGCTTTGAATTTTTTTTTAATCTTCTATTCTATTCCAGAAATTATTAATATTTTTAACTAATGCACAAGTTTTCACACATTAAAATCTTTCATTCTATTTGTTTCTAACACTACCTACAGTGAAACTTGTACAAGTTGACCAGTTCTTGGAAAACAATTTAAAGAGGTCCACTTGAACAGGTGGTCAATTTATAAAGGGAGAAATTAAATTGTTTTTACCTGATCATTGTGATCAAATTTGATATTAAATCAACTTACAAAGGTAGTTGACAGTTTTCACTGTATTGATTAATACTAATTCACTTATGTTTGTTTTATCTTTATAAGAAAGAAGCTTTGTTTTTTATTTTATTTTTTTCTTATTTATCTTTTGTTGTCTTGTATTTGTTAAAAATGTGTAAGAAGCTAACTATCTTTACTAAAATAATTTTAGTTTAAGAAACATAAAGAAATTTCTTACTAAGCTCTGTTTTGTAATATTATGTAAAATATGATATTGTAATGCTCACTCATCAATCTAAATAGTTTTGTGTATGATAGAATATTTGTTAATTTTAGAAAGAAGATATCAAGAGACATGTAGTTATTGCTATATCATTATATAAGCATCATGATTGATTTTAAACTGCAACATTTTTGTGAATCATCACCTCTTTATGTCAGAATAAATTATTAAATTTTCTTGTTCTCATTTTTTAATCATGTTTAATATACCACAACAACTGACCATTGCCGCATTATTAAAAAAAATTATTGCTTTAAAGTAGAGTTAGTGTCTTCAACATTTTTAGTGCTTCAAGGCTACATCAACAAATTCAAAAAAATCTTACTCTTGCTGATTATTCAGAGAAAGTTTTTTTTTATTTTTAAATCATCAGTTAGCAAAAATTGAAATTCGGTTTATCAGGAACTATTATTGATCGATTTTGTTTTTTAAAATGATGTAAAAATTTTTATATTTTACAAATACAAAATGCTTTTGACTATCCTTAAGAGAAAAAAAATCTTTTTTTTTCCATGGAATTATCTTTGGATAAACAAATGTAATAACTATTTGCAAAAATTTTTTTATTTCACTATACCGTTTGAGTGTGGTGAAGCGCTATCACGCTTCGCTTGTTATGTGCCAAAAATTCGGAGACGCTGCTGTTGGTTAGTATAATTAGCATAACAATTAGTATTGATAAACATATTAATTAGTGTTACTTATAACTAGAGCCCGGATTTTGATGACCTAAAAAATCTCAACTAATGCCCTTAAAAAGGCCTTAAATAAAGTAAAAATATTGAATTAACAGGGTGGCCACCCACCTGGAAAACCTGGAATTATCAGGGAATTTTTTTATACTGGAAAAAACCTGGAAATATCAGGGAAATTTGGATAAAAACCTGGAAAAATCAGGGATTTTTAAAGAAAAGCTGGAAATTTTTCTTTGATGATTTTTCAAATTTCACTAATTTAAATTATTTGCTAATTTTCTTAATTTAAATTATTTCATCCATTAATTGCAGTATTTCTTTCCCACTGNATATATTGACACCAAAATATTTTTATTTTGTATAGAAACTTTAATGGATATAACAACTTCCATCTCATAATATTACTAAATATCAGAATTACATTGGATTATTAAATGTTTTTTGATAATTTGAAATGTAAACGAGCGTCTCTTGTCTGAAAGTAAATTTTCATTCCTGCAGAAGCTTCTTTCAACGTCTACTGATGTTATAGGTGTGTACTTGAAAAAGACGGTCTCACTTACTGACAATTCTTCAATTTGAAAAGATTTTGCTTCACCTGTTAATATCCTATAGATTTTCTTCATTGTTTGGAAGCCAGTGTAATAATGAAAATTGATAAAAAATTGGAAAAATTAACAAAAAACTTTAAAAAAAATGCATTAAAAAGCAAAAATTTAAAGAAAAATGCCCTATAAATCTAAAAAAATGCTCTAAATGTCCAAAAATGCAAATGTCATCAAAATCCGGGCCTTAATTGTAACTATTTCTATTGTTCTCCAAAAAAATTACGCATTTCATTCAGCACTATTAGCATATATATAAGAAAACTCTTCAGCACTCGAACAGTTGAAATATTCTCATATATGATGAAACGCGCAAAGTATAATTAACATTAATGGGTCTATACTTTGGGCTGCTCTTTTGACGAAATTATTGGGACCATATTGGGCGTTCGGAAATCCGGGTCCGTTGGAAGAAGGGTATTTTTGTTCAAAGAATTTTGTTTTGTCTGATTTTGTAATGTAATATCGTCTGCGCTAATTAGCATATTTAAAGTTACCCTCCCAAATCATTAAGATCAGATAATTAAATCAAAATTTATTCAGGGTGATAAGTATTTTTTTACCCCTCGCTATCTGTGAGATTAAATTGGGGCCTTAGAAGATGAGGAGCTTTATTGTATCCACAGTATAAATGGGGGAACTTGGACATTAGTGGAGAGTTGAGTATTTCTATAATGTAACGTGCAATTTTATTAATGTTTCATTAATAATTCATTTAACTATATTCCGTTTTTGCAAAAAATCTTTAATCAAAACGCTAGCAAACTTTAAAAAAAAACTTAATAGGAAAGAATAACATTTAAAAAAAGTTGCATTGTTATTTCGATCTAAAAAATTTTAACAGTTAAAAAAGATGTGTCTGATAATCATTCTCAACATTTACAACCATTTTTTTTTCATCTCAACGAAATGTTTTATTTATTTTTAGCTTTTACTTGCTCTAGAAAAACCAATGGAAACCTGGGCAGAACTTTTGATTATTTGTAAAGGATGATCCAAAATTTGTGAATATTAGAAATAATTATAATAGAATAAATGGTTAAGTTGTTCTTTCAATAAATTGGCGAAAATCTATGGGGATCTTAAGATATTCATTTTCTTACAGGCTCCACGAAATGCTAAATCCAGCACGGCTCTATTGATGAGGAAGAAGTCTAACATAAGGACCCGCTTTTGTTGGGTTGGGTCTGATGTTTATGTATGATCAGAATTCTAAATTAAATAAGAATGTATGAAAGGGATGTGTTGGTTAACATTCAAAATCTTAATGCTCGCTTATCCTAAGAAAATATCGTCCAGAAAATTTTACATCGAATAATTTATCTTCTAATTCTTCTGATAAAAATCATGGAATTACTCTGAATATTCAATGAATAATAATTTTAAAAAACGAAGTCCATTTATCTCATAAGAGTACACTCAACATATCATTTAATTCATAATTTTTGTGATCTTATTTATTATAATTGGATTATAAATGTATTTATTTTAAGTTAATTATATTTGATGAATAAATAATTCATAACTTATTCATCAATTAGATGTATAAGTAAGGATTAAATTAAGTTTATTTTTTAAAAAAAAAATTCCTGATCGCATTTAAAAAAGAAAATGGGTACGAGTAATTAGCCAATCGGATTCTTCCAGAGACTTCAATATTCTTGTTACTTTGCTTAAAGCTTTCTTTTTAATTTTTTTCAACGATTTTTTTCTTAATTAAAATATAAATTGTTACGTTGCAATACATTTAAAACAGCTCATATCTTATTTTTAAGAATCCTTTAGTTGCTTTTTTTAGAACAATTTGAAAGAAAAATATATTATTACGATATACAATCGATAATGAAACTAAATTTTGTAAATTGTGGCTGAAGCGCACGCGCACATTTGACCCTAATCTCGAGGACATCATCAGTACTGCAGAATGTGTTGGTGTTTTCGTAAAGGCTGAACTGCATTGTATAAAAACTGCGGATGTGTGTCCGTTCGTTAGTTTCGTTATCGTTTAGGGGATGGGTTTATCTCAATTTTGTTCACCGTTCATTTTTTATCATGTTTGGGGTTGGATGAGATAGAAATGTCTATAATTATGTCTGAATGTTTCTTATTTTATTATTGCATGTAATATCTAATTCCTTCAGTAGCGCTAAATATATATGTATATAACATAAATAAATTATATATATAAAGATATTTATAAAACATATAAATATTTTTAATTTGTATAGTAATTTTATAACCTATCAGCGTTTATAATATAGCATTTACCAATTGTTGAAATACTTTATATAGTAGATTTTATAGCTTCTTGGAATTCCCATAAAAAAAAGGTTTATATGTTTGCTAGAGATACATTCCGTTTTAAAAGAAGTGAAGATGCTAGTCATAGAGGAATGAGCTCTTAGATCTTTTTCTTACCAATATTACCTTGGCAAAAATCTAACCTACAAAAATGTTAGAACCCTCGTCGTCAGAAGAAGAAAGCGAGAACGAAGCAGTCGAGGAAGAGAGTTCGGAACCCCAAGCGCTGTCTGCTTCTGCGACAAATTTGGAAATCCCAAGGAGTGGTAGTATTCCCCGTAGCATATCGCCAGCAAGTGGGGCGGATAACTTAAGCGTGGTGAGCAGTTCTCAGTCTCGGTCGAATAGTTTAGCACGGCCTTCTAGTCCCAGTCCATCTCTGGTTAGTGAAAAAGATAAGGAAAAAGATGATGTCGATAAGGCTGAAAAAGAGGAAGAAGAGCGGAAGAAGCGTCTGCAGCTGTACGTGTTTGTCCTTCGCTGTATTTCTTATCCATTCAATGCAAAACAACCCACAGACATGGTTCGCAGGAACCTGAAAGTCACGAAGCAGCAGCTTGAAACAATTCAGGGACGTTTCCAAGCGTTCTTCAAGGGGGAGACGACTATCTCATCTGACGAGGCCTTTAACAATGCAGTACAAAACTACTATGAAGTTTTTCTAAAGAGTGATCGTGTACTGAGAATGGTACAGAGTGGGGCTTGCTCACAGCAAGACTTTCGAGATGTTTTCAAAATAAACATCGAGAAACGGGTACGCAGTTTGCCTGAAATCAATGGCCTTAGCAAAGAAACAGTCCTCACGGCATGGTTAAATAAGTTTGATGCAATCCTCCGAGGAGATGAGGACACCAGAAAACCTCAAAGTAGGTTACAGCAGAATGTTGCCTCAGAACTGATATTAAGTAAGGAACAATTATATGACATGTTTCAAAATATCTTGGGAGTCAAGAAGTTTGAACATCAACTTCTATATAATGCATTACAGGTATTCTGTTTTTTTTTTGTTTTTTTTAAAATTATTTTTTAACTATAATTTTAAAAGCTAGCTTTATGGGTTCTAGGACGAAAGTTTTTGTGTTCTTTCTTACTACCATAAATAGTTTCTATCTACAAACAACTCATATATACTGAACAGGAAGAGTTTTTTCATTAAAATTGCTGAACATTACACAAGTATTTTCTTTATTTGAAAAAATATCCCTTCAATTTTACTCCTTGCATCATGTTTAACTCAATTTGAACAAAGCAGTCAGTTCCTCTTTTGCTCCCAGACAATTGTTTCTGTCATCTTCTTCACTGCTTGAGTACGTCCTTGATATCAAAATTATATAGATCTCACCTTCCCAATAGTATCTTTGCATCGTTCTTTTAAATGATTTCTGTAATATGATCTACACCAAAATAATTGCCATGTCTTGACGGCTTCTGGGCAGTGGCGTGAGGAGCCTAAAAAAAGCCTCACAGAAGGGGACCAACTCGAAAGATATAACTTGAAGCCACCCGTGGGCATAACATTACATGTTGTTTTTTAAATTTAGAAGTTTAAAATCCATTTGGTGTTAGTAGTTGGCTTAATAGATCATTATACAAAAATACTCTCAGAGTTTTATAATAAAAATTTATAAGGAAAAACAACAAATAAAACTGACATTTTTGAAAAGATCTCACTTTAGAAGACATCTTTAAATTCATACATAAATATTAGAGGCTTTTGAGGGTATTTGTCTTTAAGTATAATTGTTTTAGTATCACAACAGCACATTTTAAGTTCCTGTTTTATAATCGTGCCCTCTGCAGATAACCCTGACTAGGCAGTTTTACAACATCTAGAGAAAATTAAAAAAATGTAAACTGTTAGTGTAAATTTAGTTAATCTGATTTAAGTAGTCAGAATAAAAGTATATGGGTTTGATTAACAGTTCTATATGTACATATTGCATTTTATTCTACAATCTCACCCATTTAAAAAACCTGTTAATTTTTTTTAGATTTATGAATTAGGGAAATATGTATACAGAAGAGGTTTGAAGGTTTATAATTGTATTGCATTGATAGTGATACTTCTATAAATTTTAAGAAAATGTATTTTTAAAAACTCAATTTTATTTAGGAAGTTTTTTATTTATTTAATTTAAAAAAAATAAAGAAACTTCCTAAATAATCCCTTTTTTTTAAAAGGAAAACTCAGTATCACTTCATCTTCTCAGGTGGCGTACTTTTGACAGAGTTTCAAATTAGGTCAATTCATAAATCAACTGATTAATCTAATGAGACTTTAAACTTTTGATCATTCAATTCATCCAGCAAATTTTGGGAATAGGATTGTCAAAAGCTTTAAACAAATGTTCAGTAATTTTTTAACGGCTTAAAAGATTATCAATATAAACTTAATTTCTATATACTTTTAATACAGTATATAAAATGTCTCTATATGTAAATCAATGTTTATTCATAACCTTATTTTGAATTTAACTTTGTATCTAGCTGGACTCTCAAGATGAACAAGCAGCTGCTATTCGGCGTGAATTGGATGGTAGAGTGCAGAAAGTTAATGAAATGGAAAAAGTATGATGCTTTCTAATTTACTTTTTTCCAAATCTTATATATTTTTTTGTTTTGTTTTGTTATTTTCTGTTATCATGTAATAATAAACTGAGTTTACAATTATGCTAATTTAATGTTATTATGATTTAAAATATTAAGATTTCTATTTATAATTTCATTTATTTGAGAAAAGTTTTGTAATATTTATATATACAACAATTACAAATAATTTCTTGCAATCATAACTTAATATCAATCACATTAATTAATATTATGATTATTAGAAAAATAATCATTAAATTTTGCAATTTATTTGATTACATGTCATTGTGATTTAAATACATTTTGAAATATTTTTTTGTGTAAGCATTATTTTGGACATAAAATTTTATGAAATATATCTTTAGCAATTAGGAATAAATACTTGCTAGTATGATTGTTTATTAATCATAATGGTTATTGCTTTAATTGAAATTATGATTACTTTTATTCCAAATTACAAGAATTGATTGTTTGCAATCAATCGAATTTTTTGAGAAACTCTGATAGATGCTTTTACTAGTATTTTAAATTGACTTGAACAGATTTTTTGTACATCTTTTTCATTGATATTGTATAAAAGATTTTTCAAATTATTTAATTTGTCTCATTGTATTTCTGATATTATTAAAAACTGAATTTCTTATGCTTTTCATGATTTCCTTAGTTACAAATGTTACAATTTATAAATATTTTACCATTAAGGGAAAGGTTTTTCAAGTAGCATTTTTCTCCTTAATTTTATCTTTTGATTTAGGATATTGTTTTATAGAATTTTTACATATTTCTGGTTCAAAATATTTGTTTGTAGTTTGTTGCAAGTTTTTAAGTATAGTTCAGAAATAAAGATTTCATGCTTTTTTTAATAAATTTTTATTGATTTAGACTAATGCTTGGATTAGAAAAAGATTTTATAGTTTTGTGCTTTGTACATAGTATAAAAAATGTTTTTATATTTATAGAATATTTCAATTTGATCATTTTTAAACAAATCAATGGTTAAAGCTCCATTTCTCATTAAGTTGCTTCTATTCTTATTATCGTATTATTATTTTTCTTTCTCAAATGTTATTGATGTTAATGTTACCTGATTTCTCAAATGTTTTTAGTTGCAGTAAAAAAGTCCCATATGTAGTTAAAAAGGAAAAAAAAAAATAGACCTTTTTTTTTCTCGATTTGGAGCTTCCTTGTCATTTGATTTGACTTTAAAATTGCAAGGTTTTTTGCTCTCTTATGCATCCACTATTTTGATTAGCTATGATAATATGAAAGAATGTCCTTCAAGCTCGTTAATTTTTAGCTTGCAAATTATTGATTTATAATAATAGGGATAAAAATCTTAGTTTTTTAAGAGTTAAAAGGAGAAGTTTTTGATAAATAAATTTAAAGAATTAAATGTGCCATACAATAAAAATTTAAAAAATTCCCCTAAATATTTTTATTTATAAAAAAAAAAAAATGTACAAATATTTTAATTATCACTTATTTAAAACTTGTGAATTCTCTGAGTATATTATCTAGAATGTTTTTTTCCTTTCTGATTTACTTAATTGCTTTATAGTAGTCAAATTGATTACTGTATATTTTATTTTAACTACTTTTATTTACATTTGTCAGTCTGACTAAACCTGAGGTAAGTAAGAGTCTTAAAATATTGTCGTTGGACATGCATAAATTGAAATTACAGATTCAACATTGATTGAAGATTATAAAGTTGATCATTAATATTCTTGTCCCACTTTTTAAATAAACTAACTAATAGAATGAATATTATTTGATTATACGGTATGAATATGTAAGTCTTTCAATCTATTTTAATTACATTTAAATTCCTTGCTGTGGTTGATTTATTCTTTCTTAACTATATGAGTTAATGAGTGACTGATGATTACATTGAACGATGATGGTTACTCAATAACTTCCCTTAAATCGTAAGCAACTTTCATTCGGATTTTTTTCAATTCCTTCCCTGTTTCATTTTTTTTTATTTGGCTATTCAGGTTACCAACGAAATGTAATCCTCATCTCTAGCTTTTTTTCTCTTGTTCATGCATAGCAGATTAGAATCTGTTATTTATGTGCTGCACATCTTTCTTAATTTAAATAAAGGAAACATTCTAAAATTTAAAAAGAAAAGATTTTTTTTGTTTATTTTTTAGTCATTCCTCTTTAAAGCTAGATTTTAAGAAACGGCAATGCTTTTACTAAAGAATGGTTTTAACATGTTTTCATATTCTAGTGATTCTGTTTTGATTTTTAAAAAAACAAACAATCAATTTTCTAATTGAATGATTCTATTATTCAGTCATTTATATTTTTTAATGTAAGTATAATTAAACTTAGTATTAATATTTGCTTATTTTTTGCTAATATAATGTGTTTTTTTTAGAACCGCAAATTAATGCCAAAATTTGTACTGAAAGAGATGGAAAGTTTGTACATAGAAGAGTTACGTTCTTCCATTAACCAGCTGATGTTGAATTTAGAAAGTCTACCTGTTTCTAAGACTGGAGCTGAAGGGAAATATGGATTACAGAAACTTAAGCGGTATAATCACAGGTGATTGTTTTATAAAAGCTTGTATGGTGGAATTTCGCTTCAACAGCTTTGCAATTTTTATTTAAATTTTTTTCATGAAAGAATTTTGCTTTTTTCTTACAGTGCCACCAGAATACAAGCTTGTAGTTAAAAATTAAAAGTAAATTCTGCAAAAGTTATTTTGATTTTCGCAAATTATCCAAATGCTTTCTTTTTTATTTTATTTCAGCAACTTAGCTGTTTCTTTATTTTATTCTGTAATTTTAACACCTGTATTAATAATCAATTTTTTTCTCTCATGCTGCTGCAAACAGTCGATCAAGGTAATTTTTCATAATTTTTCTGAACTTACCAAAACTAATCAGTTTTGGATTTGTAATTTTATCTTAATTCTGTATATTGAAGAATTTTTATGTTAGTAATTATTTTTCAATGTCTTATGACATATAGATATCTAATAATTGAAAAATTATATTTTATTTTTTATCAAAAATGCTTATACTTTTTAAAATTAAAATTTTTAATGTTTTCATTTATCTGTTTCAATAATTATTTTTTTTTTAATTTTAAAGTATTTCATTTGTTTAATATTGAATTAACTTAACCTGTTTAAAGTAAATGCTATATCACAATGAATGTAGCTTGAAAATTAATCAACAAACATATACAAAAAAAGGGGGAAAAACTGATGTTATTCCCAATATAAATACTTACAAATGTATATTTATTAATCCCTTTTATTATGTTTCATTGAAAAAAAAGATGCTTATACTGTAAATGTATATTAATAGTTTAATAACTGTTATTCAAATCTTTCTTTGATATGTAAATGGTTGAGAAACCCTTGCTGTATTCAGAATCACACACTTTTAAGTAGTCATATACTGAAATATTATTTTAAAAAACTTTAAAGTTAGTTAATAGTATAAAAGTTAGATAATAAAATAGTTTTTATGTGTTCAAACTTTTTTTTTTAATATTTAAAAAAATATCACACATTATAAACTAATATTAACAAAGGAAAAAGTGTCTACATAATGTTGTATATGTTTAATTTAAATTGTATGACTATGGGAAGTTTAATTCATTAGAAAACTATAATTTAAAATCATGAATTATTCAAGATTTTTACTTGCATGTTTTTTTATGTTAGAGTTAGAATATATAGAAGTGTTATATAATTAAGGGTATTTAAAATATTTTTTTTTAATTGTTGATGTTGCTAAAATCTTAATAAACTATATAAATCTATATCTTAATAAACTATAATAATCTTAATAATAAAATCTTAATAATCATGAATTATTCAAAATTTTTACTTTGCATGTTTTTTTTTATGTTAGAATATATAGAAGTATTATATAATTATAGGCATGTGAAATATTTTTTTTAAATTGATGTTGCTCAAATTTTATTAAACATCTAATAGTTTTTCTTTAAGATTTATATTTCTGTTTTTTTTTCTGCAAATAATTATAAAATTTTGAAATAATTTTTTTTCAGTGGGAACTGATTTTCAATTTTAACTTAGATAATAAAATTTATTATTTTGAGTCATTTATTTTCATAGCACAAATATTTTATATATTTCTATAATACAGAGATGTATTCATTAATGCAAGTACTTAAAATTAGTGCTTTAAATACTGTAATTATTTTTGAGTTATCTAGTTTTATATTTAGGAATAGTTAATGTAATTAGGGTGACCAACATACCAAAGTAAGCTGGAATGATGGAACTTTTTTTGAGGGAAAAAAAAAAGATGAGATCAATTTAAAGTGTTCAGAGCTGATTGTGCTCCGGAAAAAATCTGGATTTCCGGAATTTTTGCTAACAGTCATCCGGAAGTTTCCGGAGATCGAAGGTTCAGGCGTTTCAAAAAATCCTTGATCACAGAAGTTTCCGGAAATCAAATTTTCAAAGGTGGAACTTAAAAACACAGTTTATTTTATTTGTTTGTAAGGGAGAGCCAGAGAGATACTTAATAAGCTTATATTCATGATTAATATTCATTTTTTTATCAGTAAATAGTTGTTATAATCATAAACTCAAGAAAGAAAGACATATTTGTAAATATTAATTACTTCTCCAGGTCATCATAGGTACGTGTAAATGGTATAGGTATGCGTAAAATTTTAAATATATTTTAATCAAACTAAGAAATACTGAGAAAAGGGAAAAAAAACTTGTTTAAATTATTTTTTAATTTTTCAATTAAAACGTTTTTTTATTTTTATTTTATTTTTTTTTTTTTGAAATTTTTCCGGAATTTTGACTTGGGCTACCCCTGAGTGTTAATATCTGTACGTATAATTTGCAGACAAATTTGATTGCTTCTTTTTTGTTTAAAATCACATTAAATTAATATTTATTTTTTATTTTTGATAACTAAAGTAAATTAATTAAAAATTTGGGAGGAATTATTATATATTTGAAATGGGCAACTCTTTCGTCATTAAAAAGAAAGAAATTTCAGAGAATTGGTTGATAAGTAAGTATAATATTCTCACTTCATAGTAAAATTGTCTCTTTTCAATAATTATTTTCAAGGAAATCAATTTGTATTAATGCTACCCAAGCCTTTTTGTTTCTGTTCGGGCTACAGAAAGTATATAAGTGTATTTAACATATTCTAATATTTCATGAAATGTTTTTTTTTTTGGTAATGTTCAATTATAGTACGTACTGTTTCTTATATTTAAGAATATTTGCTAATTCTACAAAAGCATTAACTTAGTCAAATGCAATGAGAAGAGGTATTTTATTTGAGTGGGCAAATTGAGTAAATATTATGCCCATGAAAAATTATGTAATGAGGAGGGGGGTAACTATGTAATGTCTTGATGAGTAGAATTTCTACTACTGTTAAAATTTTAAGCTTCAATAGAAAGCTTAAAGCTTCTTTAGATCTATAGAAATGATCATCTGGCATATTTTTCTATAAATTTCCCATTTAACAATTTGAATTATTCATTGAATTGAAAAATAAAATAGCTATTTCTATGTTTTTTTTTGTGTATAATTTTCTTTAAACCTTTGAAATATTATGATTATAAATAAAGTCACAAGCTTTATTAAGCATCTATAGAACAGATGATCTGGCATATTTTCTATAAATTTCCCATTTAACAATTCAAATTATTCATTGAATTGAAAACTTAATAGATATATCTATATTTTTTGTACAATTTTCCTTAAACATTTGGAATATTATGATTATAAATAAAGTCTCAACAAATAAAAAAATTAAAAAAAAAAAACTTATTAAAATTTGTGTTAAAAAATATAGCACAATTTTTAATTATAAAATAGCAGTAATGCATCATCATCATCATAGTTGGTCAGACAGCCCAGTGTGGGCCAATGCCTTCTTCTGAAGATTTCTCCTAAACGGCTTTCTAGCTATCTTTGATCTACAATTCTTTTCATTAATTGCAAGAAAATCAGACTCTACTACTGAGTCAGCCCATCTCAACAGCAGCCTTTCCCGCTTTCTTGTTACAGTGGGTCTAAAAAGCAATATCTTTTTTATTGTATTGTCATCACTCATTTGAATCACGTGGGCCACCCAATTCATTCTATTTATTTTTATGTATTTAATAATATCGGGTTGTTATAAATCTTGTAGTTAAATCTCTTCCAGTTATTGTTTTAATTTACGCCACCAAGTATACTCTGCAAAATCTTTCTCTCAAATATTGCGATACTATTTTCCTCCAGTTTTGTCATTGCCCAAGCTTCAGACGCTTATGTTAAGACTGACAGCAGTAGTGCAACTAAATTTTATTTATGGATTGAGATTGATTGGTTTTTAATTTTAAATAGTATCTCTGAATTAAAATTTGAAAGAATCGCATAATGTTTTATAAAAGTCATCATTTCATTTATTTGGTAAGAAAAATCTTTTAATCAGTATTCTTAGAACTATATTATTATTAGAGCCTTTTATTTATTTTTTATTTTGCTTTTAAACTAAGCATGCTAATGTTTTTAATTATTTTATTACTCTGATATATAACTTTTATTTTAAAAAAGTTTGTAATGTGTATATGCCAAAAATATTTAAATAAAATTTTTCTGGCATAATTTAATCTAAGTACTGGGGGAGGAAAACACTTCTTTAAATTTTACTGTTGACAAATGCTGATTTTGAAAGAGTTTTAAATATAACTTTAAATTGATTACAGATTAAAATTTAGAATGCTTTAGTTTTATTTTAAAAAATTTTAAAATTAATGTTGTTAATTTTACATTTTAAAATTTTAGCAATTCTTCAATTTTTTATTAAAATTCTAATACAAATTTGTAAATCTCAATTTAGACTAATGTATCAACTAATCTATGTTTTTTTTAAAAAATTTATTTTGAATCAAAACTTTTTTTTTCAAATTTTATGCACACTTTGCTGTTTATTGGTGAAACAAAACAAATACTGTTTGAATTTCACACCTAGCTTTTTGTGATCATGAATTTATTTAAAAATCTCATCATTATTAAGATTTTTTTTTTCTCCTTTTGAAATCAGATTACAGCAATGTAAATGCTAGTGTGTACTACTGAACTAAAATAATACAGATCTGGCATCTTGTTGAGAATGCTTTTGCAATACTACAATTAAACTTATTAACTAATTAATTGATAACTTTTATCTCTTACTTTTTTCAGTTTGATGTTAGGATTATTGTAATTAACTCAAACTGGCACATTTTGTAGTTAGCTTAGTTTGAGAGTTTCAAATTTTATTTAAAATAACATTATTTCTTGTCATTGCACAATATATTCAGATTATTTTTTTAAATAATGTACTTTCATAAAAGCATACTTTTTTACTTTATATATTTTATTTAAATAACATATATATATTATTTAAATTTATATTTATTAGCTTAAGGTAAAGTATGCTGAAAATTTATTTTGACTTATTATATTTCTGTTTGTAATGTTTCATTTGCTGAATTAAATTTTTTATAGTTCAAATAATTGTATTTTTTATAGTATCACACCGGACTGGCAACTATGAGTATCACTTGAGATTGGCTATATCTTTAAAAAAAATGCTTTGTAATAAAAAAGCCAGATTATTTTCAAATGTATAATAGTATTAAGTGGTGATATTAGAGATTTATAATTATTTTTTATTAATGAAATGTTTCTAAACTTTTTAGAAGTTAAATGAATAATTGTTTGAATTATTTTGCATTTTTGATATTTATGTTATAATTTATTATTGTGGTTCAAAACTGAGAATGCATTTGAATATTTAGAGTAGAGATTGGCTTTAGTTGTGAATATTTATCCTGCATGATTGTGTGGTTTTTATGTTTAAAATAATGTGTTCCTTTTTAAGTATCATTTAATCTTTGTCCTTTTTTTCCTACGCTGCTTGTAGTCGACGTCGTTCCTCTATTCTAAGGCAGGTAGATTTCGGCTAGGATTTTTTTTTTAGAGTTTGGTTAACTTTTTCAATTTTAAGCATGAAATTAGCTATCTATTATGCTTGACATAATCATAAAAGCCTTTTTACTTTCATATAGGATAGTTCGCACTGACAGTAATAAAAATATTTTTTAAATGAAATTCTCTTAAGCAGTCATAAGAACTAGGTTTAGAAACGTAGCTAACATTTCTTTTATTTGGGAAATAGAGAAAAACCTTTGTGAAAATCTTTTAAAAAAATATATTTGTATTTTACAGTTGTTGATAATTCATAGCTTTTTGAATCAACTTATTAGCACACTACAAAATTATCAATTGAAGTTACAATTTTTAATCCTGTCTATGAAATACTGTGTGGAATAATAGTTTTTTTTCCCTCCAGATTTTTCTTTCTGAAAATTGCTCCTATAAAACTTGTGCATTGTGCAACAAAATATGAAAGAACGAATGGTTACTTTTATTAGGCTGACTATACTCGGTCAACAGATTTTATTAGTTTGCCAAAAGGAATAGTTATATGCTTCAAAGATGTGAATATGTAGGGGAGTTATTGAAAAAGGAAATTTTTTACGTAGTGGAAAAACTCGTATCCGGAATTGTCATAACTTTAATGAGTCCGGAAAATAGGAATAGTCAATCAAATATTAAAACATATGTTATTTAATAAAATAATAATAAGTCATTGATAATGAAGTTAATATTTATTCAATAACATTTTGTTGTTAAATAATTAAATGATATTTAATTAACTGAAGAATATTTAGTGTGATAAAATAAATATTACTAATGAAATCTGGAAGGAAAAAAAATGAGGCAGAGGATAAGTTAAATTTCACGCATGTTGAAAATTTATTTGTCCTTTTTTTTTTTTCTTCTTTTTTTTTTCATTTGAAAGGTAAAAATTGTAAATATTCATGTGAAAATAACATAATAAAAACAAGCCTCAAATTGGAAAGGAAAATCAATTTTATTTAATAAAAAAGAAGAATAAAATATTCGATCTTTTTTTTAAAAAAAACTTTTATAATTTAAATGGAAAAAAAGGGAGATGTTCCCTGTTTTTTTTCAAGCATTATTAATTTTCAGCTTCATTAATATTTATAGTTTACTCTTTTCACCTAAATTTGTTTTTCTTTAATTGTTCTTATTTTTCAACTACACTTTAAGTGTGCTAAAATCAGCAAAAGGCCGTAAATTTTTTTTTTATTAGTGATATTTTCTTTAGTACAGATCGGGAACATTAAAAGAAATTATCAGAATTTTTTTCGAAGGGGTGGGGGTAGAGATATTTGTTTATTNTCTTATTTTTCAACTACACTTTAAGTGTGCTAAAATCAGCAAAAGGCTGTAATTTTTTTTTTTTATAAGTGATATTTTCTTTAGAACAGATCGGGAACATTAAAAGAAATTATCAGAATTTTTTTCGAAGGGGTGGGGGTAGAGATATTTGTTTATTTAGATTGTTAAAAAGTGTCTAGAAAATAAATATTTGTGGTAAACGGAAGTCCTGACACAGGATTTTGTACTGTATTTAAAATAGCCTAATTATAAGTCTTATTCCTAATTATAAATATTTATTCAAGCATATAGTTCTAAAAATGCAATTTTTCTCTTTTGTTACTAATTTTTTTTTATTTTTTTGAGCTTAGTGGAAGAAGGGTTTTAAGTGACAGTTTTAAAGAAATTTAGATTTTGATTGAAAAATTTAGAATGTAACATTTAGATTTTTAGATTGTAAAAAGATGGGTAATCAATAAAGATAAGGTACAGTATTTATTTCCTAACATATGGAAAAAATAGTGATGTATGAACTTCAAAGCTGAATCACTAAATTGTCACTTAGAGCCTTCATCCACTCTGCTCTTCAATTGTTTATTAACTTTTTTTATATCATTTTTAGCTACCTCTCTGCATCTGCAAATATTTGGCCTGAATGTAGTCCACTAAAACTGCTAATGTGCCTGCAAGCTCCGCTTTGGATTATTATTTACAATGCACTAGTCTTTTCTTTTACATACATGTATGCTTTATTTCTTTTGCATTGCCTTGCATGAATTTTTTGTTATTTTATTATATACTGTTATAGTTTGCTGAGTTTTTTTTTATTTGCTTACTAAACATTTATTTATTAGTTTATTATGAAGCATGAGTAAGGCATTTGCTTTTTATTCTTCAAAATATTCGCTAAAAAAAAGCTCATTTTTGAAAAATTTATTTATGAACTAATCTCATGCAATCCAAATGTATTCCTGCTAATTTTCCCCTTGTATGTAAGTTTCCTTAAATTGTGGTTCCTTAATTTTTTTTTTTTTTGGTTGAACAGTAGTGTATATAGAGTTAGGTGCATCTTCCTGCTACATTTATGGGTGCATTCTAACCCCTCAGACTTATAATAAAAAATTTAAAATTATAATATAAAACAACAGCACTATGGTGAAGAGATTTTCAGTTATTAAAAATCATTACTTTTATTTCAATTTGAGAAACTGAAAATAGTAACTGTGATAAAAACATAGAATTAAGGTACTAAATTGAAGCACTGTTTACACTTACCGTATTGAAATAATTTTTTTTTTTAATAATCGGAGAAAATAACTGACTATTTTATAGTAATTACATTCAAAGTTTAGATGAGGATTATTATTATTTATAATGTGAATTGAAAAATATTTTGTAAATAAAAAATATTTTTATTCTAACTCTGTTATTTCTTCTGGTGAGTGTGCCCTCAAACCTTGTGCACTCCTATGCAATATAGACTTTGCCAGGATATTATTTATGCACTGGTGTTAAAAAACTACAGCACAAATTTAATTATACTTTTAATAATCTTATATTATTTAAACTATATTTTCATCATCTTTTTTTTGTTGCTAAATTGAATAAGAATTATATAACAAAGTGCTTTGCAACTACGATCTCTTGAATAACATATAATTTTTTTCACTCCTCAAGAAAAATTTGACAAGAATATAACACTGAAAGGACATTCAGGAATATAATGACATTTATTGAATCAATTAAAATTAATCCAAATGATGTATATCCCACTGTGTAAGTTGACTTTTCAAATCCCCTAAATGCTATCAAAATCAGGGTGTTGACTTATATACGATAAAAAAATCAGATGTTTGTTGGTCTTATATTGGTGCATTTTTAACAATTATATAGATATAAATAATTTTATGCCAATTTATCTTTTTTAAAAACTACTTTTGAGGCTGTTTTTTGAAAAGGCTCCCTCGTAATATGAAATTATGCTTTTATGCGAATAATATGCTATTTTTATAACTGCTGTGTGTTTGCAACTGTTACTCATGACTAGGGCTACAGGTTTGTCGCAACGCGAATTTCCGCTATGATTTCCACGAAATTGTCATCTTTTTTCCTAAAATCCGCGAATTTCTCAATATGACTTGACTTGCGCGAAAATTGCTTAAAATTCCATTTTTTTAAATTTATTTTTTTTATTAAACAGAATTTTTTATTTTCCTGAACCTTGAATTGAACATGCAAAATTGTTTAGATATTTAGGGGAGTGAATCAATAGCAAAATGACATGAAAATAGTTCAGAGATAAGATATAATCACAATCTTGTCAACTAAGGTGGTCTTTCTACACTTAGGGAGGGTAATTACCTTCTTGAAGTCAGTAAGAGTACAAAAGAAATTGGAATCACAAAAGAAGGAAAATGTTATAAATTAAATCTTTGACAGAAAAATTGTTATACATGCTATTGCACTGGGCAATGAAATTTCTACTGCCTTTCTACGTATCCAGTTAATTTTTCCTAGACGACTTCTTGTGATTTCTTAAATATGAATCAGTTTCTTAGATGAAGGGAGGACTAGTAGTTAGTAGGGACTTGTAACTAGCAGTTTGAATGTAGAATGTTTGAGTTTTCACAGCAATTACTTCTTACAAAGCAATGGTCAAGGAATTGGGCATCGGTGAAGGAAAATTGATCGAGTTTCGGAAATCAAAGACCGAACGCTCCAAAATTGGCAATTCGAAGTTTGTCGGTGCTAAAAACAGCGTAGACACAGAAAGATCGTTTTCTAAGTATAAAAATGTATTAAGTGATGAAAGACGAAAGATAAAGGAGAATAATCTGACAATGTACAATACTTTGTACCAAAATTCTGTTCATTTAAATAAAAATATTAATATTGCTTGAAATTCAAAGAAGTACTTTTGTTGTGTCTTTTTAAGCTTTTTTTATTGTTTGCGCAATTTCTGTTTTTTGCATCATTTATATAATAAATTTTTTTATGTTTAAAATTTGTGTAATTTTCAAAATTTTCCGCGAATTTCGGGTCTTTTTTCCTGTGACAAACTTGCAGCCCTACTCATGACTGTTAGGTTAAGTTTAGCCTATCTGAAGTCAGCAGCCAAGTTATCTATTGAAAGTCAGTCAGTTGAAAATGATGCAAAACGTCAATATGGAGAAAAGCCACAATTTTGTGAAAATGAAAAGCGTTTGTGGTATAATTTTTTAATAATTAAAAACTTACTGCAATGTTGCATTACCTGGGCTCATAAAAATTTGCAAAAACTGAGAATATGGCCGTGATTTTGATAATTTTCATTTAGGTGGGAAAATGTCACAAAATTGACAATTTTTAAAAAAATTTAATAACCTTTAAAATATTTAAGTTATTGTTTGTTCTAAAGTTCAGATAATTATTCACGGCAAGATTATATGTATAGCTTAAAATCATCACATTGCTTCAAATGTAAGGCACTTAAAGTAGTGCCTTTTTATTTTCCTTGTCCACAGCTTTGAGAAAAAGCTTTAAAATGATATATGCAGTTAATTTTGCATTTACTCTCGTCATATTTTCCTTACATATAAAATTTTTTTTGAGAAACAACTTTAAATTACATTCAGATTAAAAAAATAAGAATGAAAAAAGGTAAAATAATTTATTCAAGAGTATATCTCAAAAATACAATGTAGTGAAAACTATTAAAACATACCATAAAGCCAAAAATTTTAAGATTCCAGAACGTGTGTGTGTCAAATTCAATAAAGTTTGCAGGGTCATCATTCAGATTTCACTTTGCAGTGGATTCTACTCCATCCTCATATGCTGAGTTCCACAAAGAATCATCTTCACTACCATTCAAAGAAATCGAAATTCCTCTCTTTTTAAAGTATTTTACATTAGGATTTTAATCTACGTTTTGATACGCATCTAGCATGTTATTTAATAGAACTTTTTTTGAAAAGGCATCTTGAAACATGTTTATTTGAGGGCAAAAGTTTCATATTTGTTTTTTTTTAGTGATTGAGTTATACCCCCGGCATACCAGAAGTTTTTGCTATTTTGTAATCAAAAATAGGGGTTTGACTTGTACACCAGGATATATCTTAATAATAGTGAGCAAGTATGGATACTTCCTTTTGATAGTATCATTTCTTATGTTCTGCAGTATCAAAAAATTTTAACTATTTAATGTAAATATATGATAGTATAATTTTACTGAGTCATATTTAGTATAATAAGCTATATTTCCTTTACAAATATTCCTTTTGTTCACAAAACTTTATAGGACATATCAAACAGTTAGTTTTCGGGCCAAATTAGGCTGTAGAAATTTAGGCCAAATTAGATTGACTAATTAGTTTTAGACTCTGGAAATTTGAAAAAACATAAATCAGCATCCAGAAACCAATTAAATATTATAGCTATTATTAATTAAATAACACTACCCTAATTTTTTTACCTAGCTGGGATATTGATACAAAGTTAATTATCTTATTCCTAACAATTTATTACTGTTATTTAGTTGTTATTCTAATTCTAAAAATGTAGTGCAATATAGTATATACATTTAATTTATAAATAATAATAATTATATAATATAATATAAAATTTAAGTATATAAATAATAATTATATTATATAATATAAAATTTAGTATGTAGCATATTTATTTTGTCACCGACAGTAATCATTTTTACACCCTTAAAAACTTAAAATGTAAAAGCCACATTTAATATTTTGTTAGTTTTATGAACAATATTTAATTCGTATAAGCTTATCTCATATAGTGTATGAAAATTACTTTGATTAAAGAGTGAAATGAAGCACAGTATCAAACTCCCAATTATACAGCACTTCAGTTATTTAACACCCCATCTGATGCATGTTAAAAGCCTTCTGAAGTGCATTTCACCATTATGGCAACCATCATGAAGCAATTGTCTGTGTTAAAAATTTATATATTGAAAAACGTTATTCAACAGCTGATATTATTAGAACAGGAATATAGTGTAGCATTTTTTGAAGTCTTACACAATGAAAGATGCAGTTTTCATTAAAACACAGTTACAGCTGGAGTTGTTGGAGAAATTAAACTTATTCGAAAAAGCATGTACTGTAATTTAAGATGGAAAAATTAAATTAAAATACCTAATTATAATAGTTCTGTAATTTCACACTTAAAAATTTTTAAATATTTTATTTATTTTGCTCAATGTGTAAAAAATTATTATTTCTAAAAATTGACTTAACTGATTTTGCAATAAAAATGTTTTATAATTTTTTTTCCTTATTTGCCTAAAATATTGGGAATAGACTTTCTATAGATTTCTAATTAGTGATGGGAACTTATAATACCTATTTATTTATAACATATAATTGTCATAAGGCTAACCATGGGAGGTTTTCATGGTTTTTCTCTTATTGTAACACAAATGCGGGATAGTTCCATCAAGAAGTTCTCCAAGAAGGCAAATTTCTCCCAATACTCGATCCAGGAGTTCCCTTGTCTTCTGGATTGGGTTCAAAATTGCAAAGCTTAAAGCATTTTTACAAGAAAAAATATTGAAAAGAGTTACTTATAGAAAACTATTCAATTAAAAAAAATTATAATTTATGCTATTGTTGAATCGAATTTAGCAGTACAATTCAACAATTTTCCGCAATATAACAGTTAAAATGTGTGCAGAGTATTCTCAAAATTTGAAACTGAGTTATTAATTTAGTATGGTGAGGGGGTTGATCCAAAAGCGAGCATCTCAAGTTGCCTTTGCTCTTTAAAAGTCTGAAAAATCTTGATTATGCCTTTCCATTTTAATTTTGTTTTACATAGCGAAAAGTTAAAAAAATTGCATTAGGCAGTGATAAGCAATGTTTGTTTGTGGCATGAGTGCTGTGTGTTGGCCATTCATGGTCTTAGGCTTAGGCAGACTAATGACACTGGCCTATGCTAATTTAAATCACAGTTTGCCCAAGCCATTGTAAATTTCAAAAAGTATTAAATAAAGTATTTTCAAAAAATGTTTCCTATGAAACTTAAAACTTAATTTTAAAATTAAATTTTAATAAGCAAATAAACTTTTTCTTATATTTTTGTAGGAAAATAGTGCCATAATAGTTGACGTGATTTATTCAAATCACATCAGAATTTTTTTTTTTAAATTATTAATTCAAATGATCTGATTTTTTTCCCTAAAAAAGATTGTTAATCTCTTTTTTTTCCATTCAATCACCTTTCTTTAAAAAAAAAAAAAAATAGAAAAAGAAACTTACTTTAAAAAAAACATTGAATTTTATCTTGAAGAATGATTAAAATCACCTAATTAATTTAAACGAAAATCATGTGATTTAAATAAGTTTTCATGTGAAATATTTTTATAATAAAATTTTTAAACATATCCCTAAGTTATAGATTTTTTTAAACTTTTAATTACATTGATATTGAAGACTTCATCAGAGAAATGTTGAGAGAGTCATGTATTTAATTTATTAAATGCTGTTTAATTACCCCCATTTAATTTTATACTTATTTAAATTGTACTTTTAAAACTTATTAAATATATGGTTTTAGTGCACTAAAAAGGAATCAGAATTGTTCTGCCATCAGAAATTTAAAATAATTGACTTTTTTAAAAATATCTATTGATCTTATTTATTTTTTAACTGACTACTTTGGTTATCGTCCTTACAAATTCATGAGGATGATAAAGTTAGAAGTTAAATATTTATGATTTTTATTAATTCAGTGGTATTTATAATAGTTAAATAATAATTTCAATCATTCCAGGTATGATTATTAAGTATTTTAATTTTAGTTATGAAATTATTTTTAAATGATACTAAGCATTTTTGTTGCACATTATTAGAACAGGGAAATAGTATACCTCATTGGGTTTTTGGTAAAATACCATTTTTTTAAAAAACTTTGCAGTTATTTTTTATTTTTAATGAAATTTGTTTACTTATTTTAAAATGTGTTAATTCTGTTTTGTTGTTTTTGTTTTGCAAAACCTTTTAATTTTTTTTAAAGTTACTTATATAGTAAATGTTCTGTGTGCAAGGCAGTAACTGTTCTTGCTACTGTTGCCTTGCTGCCGAAATATGAGCCATGAAATACCAAAGTCACTCAATTAGGCATTTGTTATCATCCTATGACAGCATAAATTTAAAAAAGACTAATTAAATAGTCCTGTTGAAACTATATATTTTTATTTAGCATCGGACTATGTTATGAAATTAAATAAAAAATCCTATTTTAAAGTGTTATAAACCAAAAACAACAAAAGTTAAAATTTTTTTAAATTTTTACTGTTTTCCCACTGAAACATTTGTCATTACAACACATATTATAAACAAAAACAGGATATTGTGCTATTTTTTATGCATGTAACTATTTAATATTTTGGAAACTATATAACCTTTGATTTAAATTTTTGCAATATTTGCCGATAAATTTTTGTGTCTCACAAGATTTTAATTTAGATTTTCTTTTAGATTAAAACAAAGTTCTTTACTTATCCCTTTTAATTATGAAACCAGTCTCTAATTAACGCCATTTTTAATTATCACTTTTAGATGCTTTTATATTTCTTATTTTATTTCACATTTTAAATAGTTGATTTTTTTTCCGTATTAATGCTTATTTCAATTGCATTATTTTAATCTTATACTATTTTGATTCTATTTTACACTTATTGGCAAACACTTTTCTGCTGTCATTTTTAAATATGCTTAGTTTTTATTTAAAAAATTATTCATGTTTTTATATTTTTTTGTTAGCTTTTAACTATATTTAATGGCTTATATTTTACAGAAGTCAATCATCTTTATCAAAAGAAGCCGTTACTGATGATGGAGAAACCTCGCTCTCTAAGCTTGATGTTATTCTTTCTTTCACATTGGAGGTACTCATATTTTATCGAATGTATCTTGCTTGTTATATTGTAGTGTAGAACTATGCAAGATGATACTCATAGAGTTAGATAAGTGATATAAGAGGCATAAAAAAATATAATGAGTTACTTTCGATAATATTTATGCAACATGTAAAAGTAGTTAAAGTCTTGCATGCTAATGGTGAAAACTTAAATCTCAATTGTTTCTTGTGAATTGTTTTAGCAGTTCAGACTTTACAATCAAAATTTTGTTTAAATTAGAATATTAAACTTTATAAAATATTTATAGAAGTTTAAATAAAACATTTTTGTTATTTTATAAAAATATATGTTATATATAGGGTTCACACCAGTAGGGCGACATGGCAATAAGCATTGCCAAATCTTCTACAAATGTCGCTGGAATAATACACAAGAGCGACTATTTTGTTGTCTTGAAATATGTTTGGAATATACAAAAAAGTAACAAATATATGTTTTTTTTCCATCGAATTCAAATCATTTGAAAAAATTTTTTTGTGCTTATTGTTCTATGCGTGGAATGAAATTCAAATGTATGGTATTCAAATGGAATAACCGAAAGTGTCTGGTACAAAATGTTTAAATTTCAAATTATCTTAAATTTCAAATTTGCTGTGTTTTGTATTCATCTACTGGCACTAAAATTGCCCATCAATAAAATAATAATTTTTGCTCTTTTAGAATTGACTTTATGTAAAATTTTATTATTTTTAGGTAATTAATATTTATAATATTATAATATTTTGCTAGTTTTTATTTTTGCTGTTTTCTTCAGTTATTTATTTGGTCTCAGCATGTTAATATTTATGTTGAATCTATTTACTAATATTATTTAAACTTTTTTATGCCTAATGTTAATAACTGTTAATCTTCAGTTATTATAAACTTATCAACCAAATTAGTTTTAGGGTGCTTTAGATAGCAATTAAAATTTTTTTGATGTGTACCATAACATGACTCATGTAATTGTAAAGTTCGATTTTTCTGAGGTTTGTCTACCATCTTAATTTTTTTGACTACTAAATATTTAGCTTGGTTGTTCTATTGGACCACTAAAGCATCATTCATGGTGTGAACCCTAGCAGCTATATATATATATATATATTTAGCAGTA